TTGGAATCTCAGGATGGTAACTAGGCAGCCTTACTTACTTCAGATGCAATCTGGACATGGCACTTCCTAGGATAAGCACTAGGATTCACAGGATACAATCAGACTTAGTGTCTAAGTACCAGACACAATAGATGTAGCTGGCTATTACAACCCAAGACCAGATGCATAGGATGCAGGGGATGCAGAAGAAAAACACCATGTGTCCGGACATGGCACCTGCATGTCTGATGCAGAATTTATTTTTGCTGATGCCCCCTTCTCCTCCTTCTTCTTCTTTTCTCCTTCCCTCTTCCTTCTCTCTTCTTATCTCCTTTCCCCTTTCTTCTCTCTTCTTTTTCCTATAGTTTGCTTATTTGTATATCAATTAATTGTTTAGTTTTTAGGAGAGGACTTCAGCAGTATAGTAGAAAAATACATGGCAGGAAAGCATAGCAGGAGAGTGTGGCAGAAGAGTGCACGGTGAATGAATGTATGGTAAAAGATGATATAGTAGATGAGTATATGATAAAAGAGTACATAGTAGAAGAGTACAAGTTTATCTCTTTATTTTTATTACCTAGTATTTTTATAAGTGTGGTGGACTTACTTGAGAGAGGAAAGGGGAGGTACAAGTTTGTCAGTTCTTTTATTTGTTTAAGAGAATACTTGAGCTTTTTGAAAACTGGCATAGTAGATAGACTTTTTTAAAAAAACGCACTTAAAATTACAGGAATATATAGAAGTCTTTAGAGATACATTTACTGGAAGACTGACAAAGAGACTAGGAGGAAGGTACAAAGAAATAGAAAGGGCAACAAGGAGGGCCAGAGATTTGGTAGCCATAGTTTGTCTTTTCTTTGTTAGCTTTTTCCTGTTTGCTTGTTTGGAGGAAAGGTATCTAAATAATAGGAGTAAGAACTAGTTATCATTTCTATTATTGATATATACTCCTGTTATTACTATTAGTTAGTTAGAAAGAGTATGCAATTTAATAGGAAGAGTATGAGAGTATATCAGTAGGGAAAGAGAGGTGAAAAGCTTTTTTCTCACTGTAAGTTATGCAATTCTTTCACATAAGTAAGCTTGATATTTCATTTCACAGTCTATTACTTACTTAGTTCTGATTGACTTATTGCTACAAGATTTCTGTTTGTTTACCATTTACTTTGCTATTGCACTATTTATATAAAGGACAGTTCTGGAGTTCTAATCATCTCATACTTTGATTCTTTGTAGCTGTAAAGACTATTACATAACGTTCCCTCTGAAATAAGGATAATCGATCTTCTGGAATAGTAAGTATTTTCTATGTGGCCTTCATGATTAAATACTTGGTTAAGAAAATTGGAAATAGTTAACCACAGGTAATTGATTAGTGTTGTAACAATTAACATCTTTTAAAGATATAGAAAAAGGTAATTATCATAACTTTTTTCATATCTGACATTTCTCTCTGAGCTGTCTTAGCCTTGTGGCTTAATATCAAGTTTTTTTTATATAGATTTTAGTACCACATTTACTGATATCTACATACTTTACTTTACTTAAATGGCTGAGTAATCATTGACTCAGCATTACCAAGACTGTTGTCTTGTATGATAGTTATAGACAATTTAGAAGCTGATAATAGTAGGATGATTAGCTAGACTTATTTGTCACATACTAGTACCAGATCAATTACCTATTGTAATTACTACAAAGTCTAATATAATACTGCATTAAACTTACTAAGTAAACTTTTATTCAGATTTTCTTTTCTTTTTATATCTTGAGTATAAACAAGAGAAGTCAGGTATCATTAGACCTTTTCCCCAGATATCAAAATACGTGTGCTGGGTGTGGGTGGTAATCCAATTCTGTTTTAGTCCTACTATCACATCCCTCCTTCTTGCACCATAAGTCAGTTACCACATTCAGGTATGTCCAGCTTAAGGTACCTCCAGAGTAACTTGATTATATTTTCTTCAGTGTTTCTGCAATACCAATTACTACCGCCAACTCCCCAGCCCTCCCCAACCTCCCTCCCTCCAGTATCTAAGGCCTTCAGGCTTCAAGTCCACGCCTAAAGAATTTCCACCACCACCACCACCACCACCACTATCACAAAGTAAAATTAAACTTCGCTCTTAAGTTAGGTATCCCCCAGCGCGCAACCTCTGCACCTCTAGCTAGATTAGGCCAACCAGACACGAAAATTCCGATTTGTAAACACAGCTCGCGAACACGCGTGGCCAGATTTCTATTCCTGGCGTTCCCTATAAAACGCAATGTGCGTGCTCGAGTACGGCACGAGGCGCTAGTCGACAATGCGGGAGACTGTGTTACGGTACCGTGGGTGTGGAAACGGGATGGCATGCGTGGAAACCGTGGGGTGGATTGTTGACGTTTTTATTTTTGCCCTCTGGCTCTGCTGGTGATGGTGGAGTGGGGAAGGGTGGGTGCGATGGGCAGTGTGTTGCCCAGTAGTTTTTAAAGCGCTGGCGTATTGGTGGTGGAATAAGTATTAGATGCTGTAGATTCATTAGGGGGGGGTTGTATGAACGGCGATGAAACGGGAGGTTGTATTACGGTACCAGTGCTACGCACCAGAGCGGGGGGAAGGAAGGAAGGGTGGTAACCAGGCACAGTAGGAAGTCCAACACATGATTTAGCGACAATACGAGTACTGTAGACGATAGCGTGCCCCACCACCAGACGTCCAGAAAGGAGGGATAATGGCAGGTGCTTCGGTTTTAGCTATAGATTCCTGTGTTCTACTCGAGTACACGAATAAAAGCCACCTATCATGACGGCGCTCATCATAACCCATTCAGTTTCTCAAGAAATAGAGAAACCACCCTAAAAATCGAGCCAGAATCCGGCCTATCGATCGTACTCTATCCTCCTCCCGCTTGGAAGACTTCCTATTAGCGGTACCCCGCACCCGCAACCGCAAACAGTCACCGCATAACCCAGCGAGAACTACATGTCGCCAGTATGATACCTTCGAACAAGAAGCGGCAGAGGCCGAACTCACACTTGCTTCGAAATCGGAGAGCCTGAAAGGGTATATCGTATGGGTGGGATGTGTGTTTTTATATTAGGATTTCATGGAAATATATTTGGACGTATCATACCGGCACTTTGTTGTATGATATTGGGTGCTCTATTTCTACCCTCACTTTATCCCCCGACACCTTGCAAGTTAGCGCGGTAGATGGTTTGTGAATCATAGAATCTCACTCACTCGGCAATATACCCCTCTTGAAACCCGAAGTCAACCCATAGCATCTTGATTACTATCGCCGACGATAACAACAACAGCGGTCGATATATACAAGTTTCCTAGTCCAGCGCAGCCTCCATATATGCAACGTAAGATTCCATACTCACTCCCGTGCCAGTCCAAGTTCCCAACATACCTGCCATTTCTCCATTCTAATGAAATAAACATTCCTGTAACATTCCTGTTGTAATTCCCATGGCGATGCCAACCATCCCAATAACTGCTCCACTTTGCCGAATAACAGCTTTGGGCGGCGCCTCTCACCTTCCTCGGACTCTGTGTTGCATGATATTTAGACTACCATACTCACCGCAGCCAGCTGGAGAGGGTCAGCCACAACGACGGAATCCTATCCTCGCAACTCGTATGTCATGATTGGAGTACTATCAATTCAGACAATCACCAGCGCTGAAAGACCCTGCCGTAAATTACCAGAAGAATAGGTAAGAAATCCAAACTGGCCTACCGCAAAGCTGATAAGCGCGATGCCCATTCCCACAGTGACATTACATGAAATGCCTATACCACAACGCGGAGGTTAGAGGTTGGTTCCCTAGACATGATCCTGATATCGTCAACCGATTAATCCATCCATAGGTACGATAGGAAGGAAGGCAGGGGGAAGGAGGGAGGATTAAAAAACTCCTACTAACTAGGGAATGGGCATGGATGATTAAAGCGAGGTATTGGCTCTCCCGTATAAGACTGTTGCAGATCCGATACTGAAAGCTCACATGCTATTATACAAGTAACTTTTGGCACTGCGGACAGTAAACACTTCTATCAGGCATGTTCAACCACGTAGCAGAAAAGTCAAAATACGAATAATCAGTATTATTATTGTTGTCGTTCTCCTTCCCTTTGCCTCCGTTGATCGGATCGGATCCACGAACGCTGTATCATACCATCAAAAAATCCAGGCGGACCGGCACACAAAAACACAAACATAACCCCGAGAAGCTAACAACAACCGTATATCACAAAAAATCACTCGGGGTGGCACTCAGCCGGAACGATGATTGGACCACCACGATGAGCGAATAAGCGTCCCCTCACCCGCAATCGCGATTCGGGGGACCATTGCTATGCGCGGGGACATCGGAGAACCTATCATACCATGATCAAGAAGCCTTCTTACGACGAGCTTAACCCCCACAGCTCTCCCAGATTTACTATCATACATGCGCCACACCTATTTTTCACCCCTCCGAATCCACTGCGGGGGAAAGCCCAAGAACCGTTTTAGTATCCCCACAGAAGGAAATCCCAGCTTTCCCTATCTCGCTCTTTGCAAAATTTCGTGAGATGGGCGTAGATTTCTCCACTGTGTTCAATCACTACCACATTTAAACCGGATGAGTATACTACTTAATCCCCCCCTTCGGTACCCCCCATCCAATAGTCATACCTCGAGTACCCTTCCGTGATCATCTGTCTCTGCCTGCCCAACACCCGCTACAGCTCTCGGGGCGGGGCGGTGGTAGTGCGGTGCCTGCGGTGGTATTCCAAGCCGGCCACTGTAGACCATCCCTCCATCAACACCTAATGAAGTGTGTAGATGGCGATGGGGTGTGTTGGGGGTGGTGTTGTGGCGATGGTGTGGAAGGGAAAGCACTAGTGAGCGGCTGCTAACGGATGGGCTCACGGGAGACCGTGATTACCGGTATCTGCGGATGGGGAAAACGGGGTTAGGGCAGTCTTGAATGGACATGGAACTATAATATGATACCACGACGAGATTCCAGGGCGCAAGGGTAATCTTGAAGTGTTCGCTACATACAGCACAGCCCGCATAAGGATATCATTCAGAGAGCAGAGCACGCCCCATCCCATCCTAGCACACTATCAAGATATATATCAATCTACTGTACATCGAGAGTCTAATCAAGTTCAACGAAAGGTGCCTAACAATGCAACATCAATCAATTCTCATCACCACTTTCCTTCTCCTTCTTCCTCCCAAAAATCCCCTGCAATCCTTCCCTCTTCTCCTTCTCCTTCTCCTTCTCGCCAATAGCGCTACTCTCATCCTCCTTATCAACCTTCCTCCTCCCGATGGTTCCAAAGAAGCCGCTTCCGCTGCCACTTCCGCTCTTCAACTCCTCCTCGTCGTCGTCCTCGTTCTTCTTCCCGCGTCCAAAGAAACCGGACTTGTCTTTCCACGGCAGGGGGGACACGCCGCCTATCCCACCGCCACCACCACCCGCACTGCCAATGAGTGGAGTGGACATGGTGCTCGTAACGAGACCTTCCTCACCATCCTCAACGTCGCTGTCTTTGTTCTTCCAGGAAAAGAAGCCCCCGTCCTTTTTCCATGCGGACGAGATGTTGAATTTGCTTGTGCTGCCCTTCTTGCTAAGCGCTGAGAATCTGGACAGCAGTGAGTCCTTTGGTGTGTCAGATACGTTCGAGGTATTGGATGTATCCGTATTGATGGATATGGCGGAAGATGCATTCTCCTCTTTTAGCGCCGCAGGGGCTTCAAAGGTTGGCGCCGCGGGGTTCAGTCTTGGAGTCGCCGGACGCGCGGACTGGTAGGGCAGGTGGGAGAGTGAGAGGCCGGTTGTTGTTGTTGTGCTTGCGTTGGGCGAGACGGGCCGGCCCGGGCTTGGCCGACTGGATGAAAAGTCGGACCAGCGGCCCCCTAGTAGGCTCACGCGGTTCCGAGGTTGCTCAATGGCTGGCGGCGCAGCGGGCCAGCCGAAAGCCGCAGAGACGTCAGAGGATGGTGCAGGAAGGAGGTTATCGAAGGAGGCGATCGAGGAAGGGCGGGGTGATACGGTGGTGTCAAAGAGCTTGCCGGGCTCTATGGGATCGAAGCTGGGACTGAAGTGGTTGAAACCGGAGCGCCGGCTACTGCTACTGTCGGCCCTCTCGAGGGGCTTCTTACGTCCGCCGTGGAGGAATTCCAGGCCCGCCGTCCAGCCTCCGTAAGAACCACTGCGTCTTCTTGTGCCAATCGGATCCAGGCCAGGTGGATGTGGACTCTTCGGGAATGAATGGGATTCGTTCGGTTTCAACGACCCAAGTAGTGGCCCACTGTCTAGCGGAATAGTCTTGCCGCGTTGGCGGTTGAACCCTCCGGAGAACAACTTGACGAAACGTCGGCCACCTGAAATGCTCCCTTCTTCACTCGGGCCCAGCTGGCCCAGCCCACTACCAAGAAGTGATATGCTATTGTCATGCTCAGCGCCACCCGGGCTACCATCCGAAGACATGTTTGGAAACATGGGGATGTGGTGAAAACTACTTCGGGGAGATGAAACGTGGGAAGTGGATACCGAGCCCGACGACATGGGTGATTGAGAAGCAATGAAGCCAAGCGGGTCGGCACCAGAATGCCGAGATTGGCCATCTTCAAGGAATGAAGCACTGCCTTTAGGACTGGGTGGAGAGTCCTCGAATGCAAATAGGTTGGACGGCAGCAGCGAATTTGCAGTAGGACTCATAGGCGCACCTCCGCCCATTCTATCAAGACCCACGGGAAACGAAGCCTTGAGGGCCGGCACAGGGGATTCCGTTGCAGCCCCCATAGTCCCGTTTGCAATGTTGAAGAAAGGGCTAGGATTCATGCTGCCAGAGAATGGGACACTTGTCTGACCGACGGACATGCTACCAGCAGAAATGTCTGGGAAACGAGCGTCTTGTGGAGCCACGAAGCCCGTGGGACTAGAGATAGTCTGAGCGCGAGACTTGCGGTTACGATTTCGCCGCTGCTTGACCTTTTTTGCAGGAAGGACGATGGGGTCTGTCCCAGCACTCCCTCGCCGACTTTGGGAGCTTAACAGTGCCTCTCTAGACCGCATATAATCGATTTCGGCCTATGCCCGGTTAACATCACTCGTAAGTATATCACTCGGGGCTAAACAAACTAACCACTTGATATGCATTATAGACAGTAATGTAGCGCACCTCCAAGTGTCTTTGACGCTCCTTCCACATTATCTCCTTCTGCTCATCCTCAGCCATCTTCTTGCTCTGGGCTTCCTCTTCCGCTTTCCATAGCTCTCTCTGCGCCTCTAGGGCCTTGATATTTCCAACATGAGTCCTTATCTCCTCTTCCATCTCAAGGATAGCTTTCTGTGTCTCCTTCATCTTCTCCTGGAGTTCCCGTTCTGTAATCTGCGCATGCTCCCTAGATTCTTCCGCAGCCTTGGATAGCTCCTTGACCCTCCGTAACGCAGCAACACGTTCCTCATCCCATCGCAGAGAGTCGTTTCTCATTTTCTTGATCTCATCCTCTTTGCTCTTCAAAGCCCTCTCCGTCTTCGACCGAGTTGCCTCAGAAGCACGCTTTCCCTCCTCTAACGCCCTCGTCTCCGCACGCAATTTCTGCCTCCCCAAGTCCTCTTCATTCTTCTTCTCCTTCAAGAGATCCAATTCAGCGCGTAATACCGCCTCTGCCGCCTTGAATTCCTCCTCTGTGTGCACCAATTGAGCGTCCGTTTCAGCAACCTCCTGTCTCACAATCTCCAACGAAGCCGTGAGTGATTCAACAGTATGTTGTTCTTCAGCTGGGGATTCCGGCTGGCCCTGCTGTCCCAGTGAGGCAGGTGAACCCTTCCTTTCCTTTGCAGTCCTCCTATGATTACCAGCATTGCTGCTGCTGTTGTTGTTGTTGTTGCCAGCGCTGTGGTGATGATGATGATGCGGTGGCTGAGGTTCCGGGGCCGGTGGTAGGCCGTGGATCGCTGGCAAATCGTCGCTTGGATCACGCCCAGTTGCAAGCGGTGCGCCCTCGTTTGAAGCCTGTGATTTCCGACGGGTCCTTAGACGGATCAGCTGACCCGGAGCCTGGAAATTCTGAGAATTCGCAGCAATAACTCGGACATTGTAAAGATGATCTGCATTTAGCCCGGTAACCGTAACGCTTGTTTCCCCCCGTTTCTCGCTCTCACCAACTGGGAGAACCCTAGTCAGCCCTATCCGATCGATATTTGGCAGCGATGGCTTATAGCCTTACCGTTTATCCCATTGATCTGAATGATATGTTTCGCCACAGACCCAGCCTTCTCGGGTAAGGACCAGTGAAGCGTGATCGTGTCCGCCGCGATCCCATGTAAAGACACCCGCGGAGGGTCAGGGAGGTCAAGTCCAAGCAGCTTAACCAGGGCCGGAATGGGGATTTTGAACAAGGAGGATGCACGGTAACACATCCTAAGCGCGATTGTTAGCCATTTTTGAGAGATCAATAGGATGAAACAAACCATAGCAGTGCTGTTAGGGTAGCCAGTACCACAAAAACCATTTCGACGCCCAAGGAGAACAGCGGGGGGGGGGGAGGGGGAGGGGGGGAGTAATCGTAAAGAAGGTTCGATGTGGAATAGCGATTAAACCGAGTTTGCCGACAGGAGAGAATATTAGTCAGCGGGGCGGAGAGTGATCTGTGCCGGATGACGTTCCGTTATTGGTCGATGCGATAGACTACCCCGCTATCAACTCTGCGAGCACCGGCTTTGGGAGATGCAACGAATGGGAAGCTGGAAGCAAAAACGGAGCTCCTTGCAAATTTTCGGGAGAATACCCACAAATTCAGTGCTTACCCGCCAGCAATATCACGATGCTGAGCCTCCATATGATAGTCCGGAGGACAGAGTATTCGCGAGCAACGGTAGATTCGATAGATTCCACCATATTCTAAACAGTCTATGAGGCCGCTTATCAAGACCTACCCGTGTCGCTGTGGTATAGAAATTCTATCAGCTCGCAGGAGCTTTACCCAATGAGGTCCGAATTCCTTTGCCCGCTATCGGCCAATCGCAGGATGGAATATCGGCCAATCCCACTGGACCGATCCCCTGTGTACTATTCCAGTGCAGTACATTAAGCACCGCGCTGCCACCAGGAAATCCGTTTCCTGTTACTCTTTCGGAAATCCAAATACTCTTCCGAAGCGGCAGCGGGCACAGCGGAAGTACCGTATTGTACCCGTACCGTACACTACCTACGTTATTACCGGGCCAAGACATGAGAAGAGCAGTCGAGCATCGGCTACAAACTCCCACCAAACAAATATCGGCAGAACAGCGGAAGGCGGGTTTCCCGGCCCCTGGGGCAAGGCAATTCGTGGGGGAAGAAGGACCTAATGAGGGGTATAGCGAGGGAAACATTTATATGTTTCTCCACGTAAGTTGCTAGCCGCGTTCACAACCCGTGGGGGGGGGGGGGGGCGTGCTGCAAGTGTAGTTGGGGTAGAAAGCGGGGGGGAGCAGACAGCAAATCGGCGTCGGCATACGACAGCGGGATAGCGGGCAGAAGAAGGTAATGGAAGAGCGCCAATGATTTCGGTGCAAGATTGGATAATCGCTCGCCGGCGGGACCGAAAAGCACACACCACTGGCCGTTGCTGTGGTCACTTGCGGGTCGAGAGGGCTCTCACCTCTCGGGCAACATCTAAAGGGCGCGGTGGGATTGGAATGATTTCTATAACGCAGATATCCTCCTTTTCTTTTTTCCTATTTCCTCTTTCTTTTTCTCCATTTCTCGCGGGGCTGTGAAGCGGCGATCCTACCGGTATCGGTGCCCTACCAATTCCCACCCCAGGTGAACAATATTACTGGTTGCGAGTTCATCGTTGGGGCGAGTGATTAGCCATGTATTTCACCAACAGATTGACGCGGCGTCACAAATTGAGGCAGGGGAGCGTAGCCTCTTTAACGGGATTAGCGAAAGTGCACCCAAAGGGAAAAACTTGTCCACCATCGTTACCGGCACTCGAGTACAGTACTGCACCCCACCCCAACCCAACCCCCACCACCTTAAGCCCAACAGTCAACAGTTGGGTAACACTACAACATGATACCGGTACCCCGAGTCCATCCAATGCCAAAGTCCGATATGCAAAAGACATGATCCTCCGAAAATCTTGGGATTCGAGCAATTACCGGCCCGGATTAAGGGATTCTTTCTCACAAGGGTCAGGTTGAAGTCGGAGTTATTTACGGTACAAGTACAGGTGCAAGCGTCCGGTGGGATAGTCTACGGTGGTGGGTAGGTGCAGAGAAGGGGTGTTTCTGAAAAGAAAAAAGAAACAGTGTGTGGAATGGTGTCTGTACCGTACTCGCCCAGTAGCGGGGAGGTGGGCCAGTACTGTACGATGTATAACCTTCTGGTGAACACAGCACGAAGGACGCTATCAACTTTCCCACACCGTCTTTTTTTTTCTCTTTTCTTTTTCCTTCCCCATCTTTTCGGATCTGGGAGAGAGTGCTGTGCACTGGAGCCGCACCGAATGTCCGACAAACTTGCTCGTGATACTGTAATTCGCAGGGAAAAGAAAGGGTTTCCCCCCGCAAAACCTGCACTTTCATACATGCTTTGCAAGGGGGGGGGTAGGGCACTGTTCCGAGGAACAGGTATAATATAGACTAGCAACACACCGGTATGATATTACAGGTATGCTCTCGTGAGAATCGGACTTTGGAAAGGAGGGAAATAAAAAAGGTGTCCGGCTGTGGGGGACTTGGGCCTTATCACGAGCATCACGTAGGGAGAGTCAGAGATCAGATTTAGTCGGGCATGGGCATCCGGTGGCCGAGTGTCACCGTTGTCTCAGCTTTTCTCAACAAAATCCCAAGTTAAGGCGGGTTAACCTCCGAGTTGAAGTTGGCGGGCCAGCGGAACGCTCTGGATCTCAACACAAACGCCGCAATCTGTCGTTACCGTACTTATCGCTTGTGGGACTGAGGGGAAAGGAGTTGCGGTGGCGGTGGAGTGAGCCGTGCGATGCGATAGTCTACGGTACAGTGAGTACAAGTACCCTTGGGAAAAGCAAAGGAGGAGCGGAGGAGGCTCACTTCCTGCCATGGCATTCTCCCCGTCAACATTCCCTGCCTTTGCATAGCATGCCGTTACCCATCACTCACTCCATACTCTGCTAAGCCCTGCACTTGCCCCCTCTCCTCCTGCCGTATCTCTCCACTTGTATCATACTCACCTGTATCACCTGTATCATACTTTGTCCCCTCTCCGTCCTGGGTCGCCTATTGCCGGATCTCCTTCCTCTCTCCCTCCTTCTAACCGTACATACCCCCTCTGTCATCTAGACCCCCATATCATACCAACCAACACCAACAAGAGATTACCCACACATTCACTCAATCACACGCCCACCCCCCACCCCCCCCTCTCCCTCTTACTGTATTTGTACTCCCTTGGCTGCCATCTCTTAACTGCCCGCTGTTCTCTCTCTTCCTTTCCTTTGTCTTCCCACCCGTGCTCCATCCTCTTCCTTTCTTTTCAGGCGCACCAACCCCCCCCCCCCCCCCCCCCTCCAACACCCCTCAACACCCTGTTTCCCCCCTGTTACCTATTGACATGCAATACGTTCGAAGTATCAGTGGATCGGTATCCAAGACATGGAACTCGATAAAGTTGGCGATCCCAAACCCATCCCCTCAGAGTTGTTTGCTGATTGCCCCTTCCGCAGTCCTGCAACCCTGAGCGGTGCTATTGACGTAATAGTCGTTGAGCAGGAGAACGGTACTCTCTCCGGAGCCTCCGCACTCGCCATCCTTTTACTGATTTGCCAACTCAGGTGACCTCGCATGCTCGCCATTTCACGTTCGTTTCGGCAAGTTTTCTTTGCTACGACCTTACGAGAAGAAGGTTGCTATTTCCACGTGAGACGGGGTGAAGGGTATCCGAGAGCTGATGTGAGAACCGCGACAGGTCGAATTCCGCGTCAATGGTCAGAAGACCGATTATTCCATGAAATTGGGCGAGGGCGGGGAGGCCTTTTTCGTTTTCGAAACCAATCAGATTGTTCCGCTTGAAATGCAAACTTCACCGTTAGTATCTCCGTCTGCAAGTCCTCGGTCGGTGGCTTCGGTCCCCGAGCCGCCGTCACTGCAAGAGCCGGATTACCTGAATATTGCCGATACTTCAGGGCGAAAGGCAGCTTCCACCGGGAATGTTTTGCTGAATCCAAGGCGGGCCCAGTCTGATTTTGGTAAGCTTGGTTTGGGCTCGGGAGTTCCCTTTCTTTTCTTTTGTTCCGGGGCTGATGGGTGTTTGCTCCGGTAGGAAACGCGACGCCACTATCTTCCGCGCCAGACAATGCTCGGCCGGCGAGTGGCGATTGGTCCGGGACCGCCATCAACCTTGAGCGGTCCGCTTCGGAGGAGGCGCTCCCCACATCGACTCGCCGGTATACCATGTCAGGGCAGGGCGGCCCGGTTCGCACTCGTTCGCCCCCACCGGTTGATCAGGCGGCGGCTGTGGAGAGGGCGCTTGTCCTTTCTCGCAAGCTTTCCATCAGTAACATCCCAACACATGTCACTGATCGCGGTGACGTCATGTTGGATATGAATGGGTACAAATTTGACCAGGAGGAGTCCCTGCAGGCCGAAATGATTGCTCGGAAGATTCTAGCGGAGGAGCTGGAGGACGACTATGATATTGGCTCTTTGATCGGGGCTGACAGGAACGGGAACCTTTGGATCTACTCAAGTGAGGAGGCGAAAGAGAAGGCTGGACGAGAGGAAGGCATTTCTCAGGGGATCGATGCAGTTTCGGACGTGGGGTATTCGTCAGATGAAGCGAGGAGCGATTCATCCTCCGAGTCCGCAGGGAAGAGGATGGATCGGTTGTCGACGCCACCCGCTACCCCTCCACTTCCTGGTCAGGAGAAGAGCGAATCAAAGAGCTACGCAAAAACTCTTAGACTCACCTCGGAGCAGTTGAGGAGCCTGGATCTGAAGCCCGGCGCCAATGCTATCAGTTTTAGTGTAAACAAGGCGACATGTACGGCGTTCATGTACGTGTGGAAGTCCGATGTCCCGATCGTCATATCCGATATTGACGGGACCATCACAAAGTAAGCTATTCGCCTTGGGAACAGAGAGGTATCGTTAACATGCGTGAATAGATCCGATGCCTTGGGACACGTCCTAACTATGATTGGGCGTGATTGGACCCATTTAGGTGTTGCAAAGCTCTATACGGATATTGCGGCTAATGGCTACCATTTACTCTACTTGACCAGTCGATCGGTTGGGCAGGCGGATACTACCAGGAATTACCTGAATGGTATAGTACAGGACAAGTACAAGGTACCGAAGGGACCAGTGATTATGAGTCCAGATAGAACATTTTCGGCATTGAGAAGGTGGGTTACTATTGTGGCCCGGTTTAGAACAACCATTGACACGGCATAGGGAGGTGTATCTGCGCAAACCTGAAGTATTTAAGATGGCCTGTCTACGAGACATTCTTAACCTCTTCGGAGCTAGGCATAATCCGTTCTACGCTGGATTTGGAAACAGGCTCACAGACGCGCTCTCGTATCGCTCTGTCAATATACCCTCCACTAGGATCTTCACCATTAACTCTTACGCTGAGGTTTCGTTGGATCTACTGACTCTGACAAAGTACAAGAGCTCCTATGTCAACATGAGGGATCTTGTCGATCACTTTTTCCCACCTGTTGGACTGTTGAGCACCGATGAGCAGTACACGGACTTTAACTATTGGAGAGATCCAGTGCCCGATCCGGAGGAGTTTAGCGATAGCGAAGATGAGGAGGCTGGCGAGGAGGACGAGGATGAGGACGGTGAGATGGCAGACAGTTACTATGAGGAGCATGGGGAGATGGCCGAAAGCTATATGGGGAACGCAGACGGGGAGGACGAGTACGATGAAGACGAAGAGGAGGACGGCGAAGAAGATGAAGATGAAGAGGAAGAGGAAGAGGAAGACGGTGACGAAGAGGAGGAGGATGAAGAATACGACGAAGAGGAGAGCGGGACGGCCGAGAGCAAAATCGAGCAACACCCTACCGATGTCCGGAGAGAGGGGGAGAAGCCCGGAGCAGCTGCCACGGCCGAAGAAAAAACAGGGCTCGGAATTCCCTTTGTCGGTGGCAAGATGAGCGGGATGAAAATGGACCTCGATCCCAGCCGCCTCACACAAGCCAAGGAATTTGCAGAAAGGGAATTGAGCGGGATCGTGGGGGAAGTGGTCGGTGAGATCAAGGCACTCACAACCGACTCGAGTAAACCTGAGGCAGAAAGCAAGAGTCAAGAGGAAATCGGCGTTTCAGCATAGGAGCTGAGCGAAGGTTATCGGTGCGCGTGGTAGCAAGTATTGGATGCAATTGCCAAGGCACCGAGGAGTGCGCATAAAAGTACATTACACTTATTACATAGTACTGTTTTCACTTTTGTGTTTTCTTTCTACTTTCTTTAGTTCCTGTCCGGCGCACGGTTTGTAATATCCTCTTTTTCTATCATCATTCGGAAATCGGAGTACCCTGGGTTTTTCCTTGTTCAATTTTATATTTTCAACGTTTTATTATTAAAGCCTGCATTGCTTGCGCTGCTGTTTCACCTTTTCCACATGACGCATCCTTTTCCGCAGCTGTCGTGGTAAACATGTATTATCACCCGCGTTGAATATACCTCTTTTTTTTTCTTTTCCTTAACCCCTCTCCAACTTGCCCCTTCCTTCCTTCTCTCGTACCGCCCCATACCATGCCGTGACAACCAACAAACACACCAGCCAAGCAAACATGCCCAAGCAAAGCCCAAAAACCACCCCCGGCGACGCCTTCACTCCCAAAGAATTGCAGGCCAGCCCGAAGCTACCACTCGGGCACGGCCGCATAAGCAACGTCCGTGCACCCTCGCTCGTCGCTACCGCCGGCGGGGGCGGGGGAAGTGCGGGTAGAAGCGGAGGGAGCGGGACCGTGATCACAATTTCGACCACTGAGGGGGAGTATTGGAAAATGCACTACCCGGTCCATGAACCTGCCTTATCATTTGGGAGTGGAGTAAGGGTATTTGGAAGGGTTGCTAATGGGTGGATATCAGGCGGGAGGGTTGAGATTGTTGCGGATGCGGGGGAAGTAGAGGAGGTTGGTATCGGGGAGGTCATACCCCTAAAAGCATACTCCGAAGGGGTCTGTAATACCGGTACCCCGACATCCACCAGCGCGGCTACAGCAGTGGGCATACTGGTCTGCATCAGATCCGTACCTTCCCCCGCCCCCACCCCACCCCTCCCCTCCCACCAAATTAACGTGACTCCCACAGCAAACCTCCCGGAGGACAGCCACAACAACCGGAAGCCCGGCCCTCTCCCTACGTATCCAAATCCTAGACGCAACAGCCGAAGGCGTGCTAACCCTTTGGGGCCCCACCGCAACCGCAGCAAACTCTGCAGGGTGGACCCCCTTCAGTACAGCCCTCTACATCACATCAGCGAGGGTAAGCATGTTCAACGGCGGCGTTCAAATAAGTCTAACGCAATCCTCCACCCTCCTCGCGCTACCGGTATCCTCCTCGGCGGGGGCCGGCCTACGTCAGCACCTGCTGAAGACGTACCCGCACACGCGGCTCCAGTTACCGCTAGTGGTGTGGCCGGCGGCGGGTGTGAAGTTACTGTTCACGCTGGCGGAGTTCTCGGCGCACGCAAGCTCGAGGTCCAAATCGCGGAAACGGGTTATGGGTGAGCCGGTGGTAGTTTCGGGGTATCTGTCGTTGATACTTATGGGCGCGGAGTTGGTGCTACTGTTCAAGCGGAATATGCTGTTTTTGGGGTCCTGGTTCGTTACCACATCTGCACTGATCTGGCATTTTGTATTAATGGTGAGGTTATTGGTGGTTCCCCAGTGGTGGGGAGTGCGTATACACTTCCACACCAGGTACCCACGTGTGCACCAGTGCCACTAACAGCCGACAATGCACCTGCACCTGGTCTCCAAACCCATCCATAGTACCTCCCCTCCCCCCGAACATATCCCCCCTCCTCCCCCCCCCAAGCTGATGGAATAGCTACCAACCCTAACCGACGAAACCGGCACAATCCCCGGCACCGCACTCACACTCTCGCAGAAAGCTTGGGACTCCCTGCTAACACCGGACCTAGCAAGCAAGTCCATTCAGGAACTCGCGCGGTTGGAGTCCCAGCTGGCTTACACTCGCTTCTCCTTCGCGGTCGTGTGGGATTCTAGTGTTGGGGTTCTGCACGTTTGCGATGTTTCGTAAATGAGGCGCGGGTGAAGGGTCGTGGCGGGGCTTGTCGATTCGTGGACGGATCTGGAGATGTCGGCAGATTTTAGAATGGAAATGGAACGGAGGGATTAATCTCGATATATTCAGCTAAGCTGGGAAAAGCGTGCGGGGGGAGAATGAATGAATGAATAGACAACTTCTTTCCCCCGTCTCCCTTCTCCCACGTCCATCCACCGGCAGTCGGTAAGCTACGACAATACCTTAGAACCACAGCTGTTTGAATCGCGGTAGTAGAAGTAGCAGTGGTACAAGGGTCCACATGATGACATATTAGAGCCGTGCTAACGCCCCTTGACCGGTGGGTAAAACCAACCCCATCTATTTATTCATTCACTCATTCATTCATTCACTCATTCATCGTAGGATGATACATGGGTACATAGTATCTGTAGTGGTCGTGGTTTCAGGGTTTTTTTTTTCGACCTAGCGAAGGGGGTAGGACTTTGGCCGCGTTACGCATTGGACAGGCTATTCGGGACCCTTTCTAGAACCACACTCTCTGTACTGTATCGCTGTACTGTATAGCACTCCACTTACCCCACTATGCCAACACTGCTGCTAGATTGGACCCCCGGGCATCGCCGGGCCTACACCCGCAACGTCACCAATCGCCGCCACGAGTGAGAATTTATGATAAACGCAAATGTATGTACTGTATGATACTTGCATGTATACACAAACTTATCAATAATGAATAAACGAATCGGATGGTAGAAAAGAAAGAAAGAAAGAAAGAAAGAAAGAAAGAAAAAGAGAAAAAAAAAGAGAAAAAAAGGTACTGTATAGAGAAAAGGAGGGGAAGGGGGAAGACATAAATAAACCTAGACCTTGGGGAAAAAAGAAAAAAACTCCGGGACACCGGTAAACCAAGCAGCCACACCAATCCCACTCCTGGAAAACACACCCAAAAATGATACAATAACCGTTCGTAACCCATTTACAAACAGCATAACCGAGAGAGAAAAAATAAAACAGCCAAACAGCCAAACAAAAAAAACATCAATGATGAAAAACGTAGGAACCGCCCAATAAATGTATTGTAGACCTGGTCAAAAAAAAAAAAAAAAAGGGAAGAAGAGGAGAGAAGAGACAAGACGATCATTAAGAGAGTGAGGGACTAGGAAAGTATTGATAAACAAAGGAAAGAAAGGATGAATAAATGTGTCAATCAAGGCCAGAAAGAGGTTCAAGCCCTCTCAACTCTCTCTTTGTAATAGCGATACGATGCTTCCTTCTCCCGAATTTAGACGGGATAGCGCACGGTGTTTAAAACATCATCAATCCAAGCCTAGCCCTCGCAGGCGGCGGGGGCGGAGACTCCTCCTCCTTTTCCGGCGCGCTCCCTCGTTAGGGCCGCTGGCAGATACGCACACTTCCACTGGTCTTGGCTCCCCGTCGGCGGCCTTCGTATTCCCCTTCAATGCCTCTTCGGATTTGGATTCCAGGCTCGAGCTCCCGCTCCTCCTCAGAACGCTCTTCAAATCAGTTGACCTTCCCGAGAAGGAGAAGGCCCGGGAAAGTGCATAGCCCCTTTTGCTCACCCCGTGCGGGTGGCTACTCCGAGTCCGGACTCCATCCGTCACATTCAACGGTACTCCCATTAATATCCCCGGATCCGCGTTTCCGGCAATCTCCCACGATTGGATCCACGATGCTTCCGATGAGCTGCCAGAGCTGTGTAGGCTATGCATAGACTTTCTAGCACTGCTGACCAGACTCACCGCTGATAACCTCCTCATCAGATTGCTCGCATCCCTCCTTCGGACACCCCCGCTTGCCATCGATCCATAAACTAATTGATCCCTCGTCCAGACATCCGTTAATCTCGACTCTATGCGATTTCTCTCGGTGCGCTTGGGCGATAGAACAGTCATCTGGCCCGCATGGAGCACCGAAGCACTCCTGCTCAGGCCCGACGTCGATTTCGACCCAATCACCTCCGAAAGAGCATGAGTATTGTTGATGATAATAACGTCCGACTTTGGCAACGGTGTGCTCCTAGGCCGGTGCAACGACTGCCTTCTAGCCAGAGTCCCGGGTCGTCCAAACACATGGCCGAGGGATCTTATATCAGACATGGCCACGGGAATTAAATTCAACTTTGCCGAACCATATTCGTCATAATCCTTGCTCTCCTCGGCGATGCACTCGGCGATCCTGTTCCGCCATACCTCCTCTTCGGCCGCCGAGCAAGCGCTCAGAAGCACTTCATAAATCCGATGCCCAGCCTCAAATATGATTTTCCATGAAAAGAGTGCGGAGTAGCAATTTAGCCCTGATTATGTTGTTAGAGCGCACTAGCCAAGGATCACGTGAGAAATACCTTGCCCCTGATTCGCCTCCTCAATTCGGGCAGTCCCTAGGGATATTGCGAATTTGACATCATAGGTATCACCGGATTTTGGTATCCTGGCGAGTAAAAGGTAAGACTTGTAAAGTAGGCAGGCCATATGCTCCCCGACCGGAATCGTTGGTCCTTGCCATGCCACATGTAACGCACCACACAGGACAATCTGGCCAAGAAGGCGAACGGAACAGTCGGGCTAAACAGGTCAGCACCACCATACCCAAGTAAGCGACCCCCCCACCGGGCTAACCTTGTCTTTGAAATTGAGGCGATCCTGCAACAGCCACGTCTTCTCCATTCTATCACGTATCTTTGGTCCATTAACAGCCGCCAGGTTGATCTGATGAGCAGCCTCCTCCAGCCGAAAGCGAACCTTATCCAGCAATTGGTTCGATTCGGGACAATCCATGGCGGGCGTGCACTTTACCATTTCAGCAAACAGCAACGGGTATTTGCAAATGCGTTGGATGGGCTGAAAACATTAGCACATTTTTGCCGAGCATGGGGCTTGTGCGCAGTGCATACCTTCACCAGCATGTCAGCCAGCGCCAATGCCCGTTTCCCGTACTCCTCTTTGTTGTCCTGTGAGCTGATGGCGCCAGCAAGCGTTTCACATCCCCTTTCCCGCAGGGACCACGAAGAGCCACGAAATTCCTTGAATTTCTCACAAACAAGCTCGTACTTGGCGCAATACTCTTCATAGACAAAGAATCCCCTGATCTGCAGGGCAGGTCAGATTTGCACATGCAACGAACATAGGAAATCCGATCACCCACCATTTTATCAAAAACCATGGCCACCTTGGCAGCAGCCATGGGATCGGCCAAAACATTGCTTCCCGTAAACCCGTCAGCTCGCGAGCTCACGCCAAAGCGCCTCCCCTTGTACGTCTGAATTTGATGGGATGCTGCAGGGAGTGCGTGAAATATCTCCTCCAACAGCTTCTCATGAAGGCTCAGGATCTCGGAAACGTTACGTGTAATGGAGTCCCTGATATCCGCGGGGATTCCCTCGCAATCATTGAGCATGGACATGTAGAGCTGCCAAAGGGTTAGCGCGTTAGTCCGTGCTTCTGATGGGACCCGGAAAAACCCACATTAACCAAAACCTTGAGGTCAGCAATATAGTATTCCTCGGTGTTGATCAATTCCTCCAATGCGCACTCGCGATCCCTCATTCTCGCGATCGTATCACTGTCCAAAGCGACAACGCTATTCTTGCCCCTCCTAAGGGACTCGTCCTCCATAGACACGGATGCAAACGTGATCGAAGCGGTCTTGACCGCCGTTACAAATTTGAAGCTGGAAGAAGCCGCCCCGTCGCCCGTTCCCGGAGAAAAAATGGAGGCGGCCCAGTCGTCGTCGTCGGAGCCGTCCCCCCGATAAGGTGAGTGGACACTCCGCCGAAGGGGCGGTTGCCTGCGACAGAGCGACTTTAACCATTTCTGGAATCCAGGGGCGCCGCAGGATAGCTCCTTCGTATCCACAGACGTAAACGCCATCGAGGGCTCACGTGGCGAGCCCGGAAATTGGGGAGCCGTCTCCATCGTCCCGATCGAGCCATTGGACACCAAGCTCCCACTCGAGCTCCTGCCGTCACCTCCGTCGGCCGAATTGACAAACGAATTGGGCCCCGGGACCCGCAGAAATTCCTCCCGTATGGACACGAGCGACCCCTCTCGGGGAATCACGGAGGATTGCGACGTGGACAACATGGGAAATCCGGTAAGCAAGGGGGAATCGTAATCCGTGGTGGCCCTCTCCTTAAGCTGCGGGGGGAAGGGCTGGCCAACATGCCAGTATCTGGAGCCTGGTTCCATAAAGTAGAGCGAGTCATTGTCACCGGCCGGTCGCGGCAATGCTGAAAGAGCCATGGCAATCAAGCAAACCGGAGCACAAAGCAAGCAAGTTCGTGAAGGGAAAGCGGAAGAAAGGGGAATGGGAGAAGGAGGAAAGAAGGGGAGAAAGAGAAGAAAAGAAAAGAAAGGGCAAGACGACAGGAGAAGGCCCGATAAGCTATGATACTGTAAAAGGTATAGAGAGGTGGAAGCACCAATTCAAGCTAGCTGAAAGGTGCACGTACTGCGGACGCTAAAGCGAACCCCAGCTCACACACAACCGGAAGAGAAGCCCCAGCAAAGGTGGGGTAGGGAGCCTATTTTTCTCTTCCACAGATAGAAATCGAATCTAGGGGAAGGGGAATGACCAAAATCCAGGGAGGGCAAGCAAGCACCAGGGAATTGGCACCACGAGTCCCCAAATTAGGGGGTGGTAGGGATGAGGAGGAGGGAGGAGGGAGAATAAGAGAAATGAAGAGGAATACCAGCACCACGAGATAAAGGCGGCCTCTACCGAGGCAATCCGCTCTTAAAGGGAGGCGACGAGCGGGGACGAACGGGATGGGAGGGGGAAGGGGAAGGGGAGGGGGAGGGGGAGGAGGTGTGGAACGGGATGGATGGGCAAGACGGACGAGACGGACAAGCAGGCAATCAATCCAGCAATCGCCAATGGAGAGGGATCCCAAAACGGATCGGACGCACGGAAGAAGGCGATGAAAGGGGAAGGGAAGTGAGAGAGAGGAGAGCTACTGTACCGCCGAGAAGAGCATCAGACAGGAGGATGGATGGACCGGGCTACGGGAAGCGTCACTACAATATAACCCACCCATCCTACAGGAGGGGGGAAGCACCGTACGGCGGGGAGGGGAAGGTGCGATGGAAGGGAGGGAGGGGGGAAGGAAGAAAGAAAGAAAGAAAGAAAGAAAGAAAGAAAGAAAAAAGGCACAGTATGGTACTGTATTGTACAGTACTCGTACAGTGTGGTGCAGCACCGTATGATATTACCGGTAGCAAGTGGTCGGAGCGGCATCCAAAGGGAGGGAAGGGGATTGATTGCCCATGATACGGCAGGGCAGTGCCTGCCACAGGCCAAACACGGCCTGCAAGGACAAGCTGTGCGCGCTAAGGTTCCTTTCGTCATAATTACTGCGTTGCGGAACATGGGGAAGGGGTGAGGAGGGAACAGGACGTCCGTCCGTACCGTTATTGCACTGTAGAGTACCGTACAGTACGATACTGCAGGCATGCACAGCGCCAATGCGGTACTCGTGTATTTGTATAATAATTGTGTGCCATATCATGCTGACCGTGGAACGGGAGACGGATCGGGGAGCAGTGCGCCCACTCAACGTCAACACGTGCAGCGAGCGGCACACAACTGGCCGGGGCCACCGTGTGATAGTATGATAATATGATAGCGTATGATGGGACACTTGGTTCCAACGGACGGAATGCCTCCTCCCCCTCTGGGTTCCTGCTGCGTTGTTCCACAACCGCAGCGAATGGGGACGAGATGCCGAAGAAACCACCGCCACCGTCCCGACACGGGGGATATCGCGATTCTGCACTTCTTTGGAAGAAATGAAATGAAAAAAAAAAGGTGAAAAAAAAAACCCCGAAAAAAGAGGAGGAAGAGGAAGGATAATCCGATACTGTGGGGAAAAATGGACGGATAAATACCGGCATGGATCGTATCATAGGTGTGCGCCTTCCAACCCTTTCCCATCCGTTGCTGTCGTCGAGCGTGGAATCCGGCGTGCCGTAGCATCATAATAATGAGAGTTAAGAATTGAAAATAAATAAATAAATCCCCCCCCCACCCCCCGTGGCGCAGGGGAACAACGAACGAATCCAAGGTAACGCTCTCAATCGACACTCTTCCCAGATCCTGCCCGCAGCTGGGTAGATCTCCCGGAGCTGGGCTGCATGCCAAGGGCTGACCATTCCGGAAGCGTGAAAACCGCTCTCCCCCAATCCCACACACACACCAAACACCCGTGCTGATAAATACACGATCCCACAGTAGCCTGCAAATTGGCCCCACAGGAGAGTGCTTGTGGGGGGGGGGCGAAGAGGGAGTGTGCCCTCGCCAACTTTTACGCTTCATCGTCGTCGACACCGCAGCACATCAGACATCCACAACAAACCGCCACCATCGACGAGATACGACAAGATACCACACATGGGTCTCCGGACAATGGACATCCACACCCCTACAATCCCCTCTTCCTCCGCCACCACCACCGTCAATGCACTCATCTCCCCGGAGGACCCCCCCCAAACCCTGGAATCCTCTAGAGCCTCTTTGATGGCGCTGATTTCCCGCCGTGACGCCCTGGAAGCGGAGCTGAAAGCTCTCGGGAGCGTCCTGGATTCCGTACCTCCCCCACCTCCCCTTCGCACCTCTCACCAACTCACACTTCGTAGCACGGCGTGACGATGACCACCCCCCTGACCACGTTCGATGGCTACCCCAGGGACGACATCGACGTCGCCCAGATCCGCATCACCCGCGCCCGCATCATTCCCCTACGCAACGATTACAAAGCGCTCATGAGCGAGATTGAGAAGGGGTTGCACGGCCTGCATGCGCTTTCCGCTCCCACTCCCGATGCCCCTATCCCTACCGCTAGCGACGGCAGCGGAGGAAGTAAAAGTGAGGCAGCAGAGGGAATCATTGAAGCGCCATTTGCTAGGGTTAATACCGTCGAGCCAGCCGGCCCTGCGGGCGTCGCTGGGGTTAGGGCTGGTGATCTTGTCAAGAGGTTTGGCGGTGTCGGGGCTTTGGATGGAGCTTCCGGAGGAGGTGGGCAAGATGCTTTGGGGAGGGTTTCCGGGGAGGTTGAGAGGTTTGAAGGGGTGAGCACTTCTCCCCGTATCGGAGGGAACGGGCGGATTGCTGACTGGAGTCTCTCTAATATCTGACTACAGAGGGTTCTAAGGGTCCTCGTCTCCCGCCGTGACAACGACGGCGTCTGGCAGAACGTCAACTTGGAGATTACGCCTCGGGCCGGTTGGGGTGGGAGGGGGCTGCTTGGCTGCCATCTGTTGCCGGTTTAGTCTGTCTATATCATGCCCTATGCTTTGAAATTGTTACCGCACTGCACTTCCGGCTCCACTGGTACGTTGGCCCACCAACCCCGTCGGACCAAAAATCTACGAACCATTGTGGGATACTCTAAACCGTAGCCTTATCACTTGATTCCATCCATTCCACCAGTACTGCTCTTTGATCTGTTCTCCTCTGTTTTGTGCAGTACTGTACTAAGACATATTTTTTTGTTCGCTCGGACCCCGCTTGCGCAGACCCAACCCAACCGGGGAAAAAGAAAAAAAAAAAACTCCTCTCGGGACATATGTATAAGGGAAGAGAAGGAAAAAAAAAAATTTGACATCTACAGTTTTTCAAAATCAAGACATGAAAACACCCAATAATCGTAGCTCTTGTGGTGCTCTCTGTCCGTCCCGCAACGCCCGCGCCCACAACCCGCCCAACCGAACCCCGCATCCAAAAGAGAACTATTGGACTATTAAGGAAAGAAGAGGAGAAAAAAAGAAAAAAAATGATGAAAATGGAAGTGTAGATAGAAAGGGAAACCAGGTAAATTGACATCAGACATACCCTACTCGCGCATCTTTGCCAACAATACGGCCGGGTACAGAATTTCGGTAAGAACAAAGCTCGAGTTTCCCGCCAAAATCCTGCACCCGGACGAACTCTTGGTGAGGACCCTCGAAGTGCCAAGTAATCCCATTTCCAACTCCGACTCCAAAAAAAAAAAAAAAAAAAAAAAAAAAAAAGAAAGGAAAAAAAAAGGGAAAATGCAGGAAAAAACAAAAGGGAAGGAAAAGAGGAAAAAGGACAAAACGGAAAACAGAAAGCAGTGAAAAACAAGAGATTCTTACGCCCACCCCATGCACGCACCAATCAATCAAAAGTGAACCTCTGCGATACAAGTACAACTTACTCGTGTCGGTGGATTGAAGTCGCTCCCTCTTTGGGGGTAATGCGTCAAAAGGGACCCGACTTCGGTCCGGCGACACGAGGGCAATTTGCAGGAAAGTTTATCACGCCCAAACTATTACTGTGATATCGCGGAATTTAACAGAGCAGCGGGAGGTAGGGTATTGGGGTGAGTGTATGGAGGGATAGGTAGGGGAAAAACCGGTGCACCGATGCTAGATAGAAAGGCATGGGTAGATATGATGGGTAGATGCAGGGGATAGATGAATGGACCCAGAGGTCAAGCCTGGACTTGGCTAGACTTGATGTTACGTCCTCCGCGGGCACTCTGCAGGGGGTTTGAGAATGAGTGAAAATATTGAGAATGAAAATGACAATGGAAATGCGAATGAGATACAGGTAAATGAAGGGGAAGATGTAGAAATAAAAGATAATCGAAGAGTACCGTATTAAGTTGGATCAGAGCAATTTGTCTCGGGACGTCAGAGTTTCCCCTCCAAGAAGAGTGTTGTGTTATTATGCTGGTGCGGTGAAGACTGTAGTTCCTCCCGTCCCAGTCAAAACAGGAAACCTTGGGGTCCCGAGACAAATTGCTCTTATCCAAGCCAATACGATAAGCTGGGATGCCAAGAAAAGTTATTAGAAGGAAAAGGGGAGGTGGGGGAAGAGACGGTGAATTTGGTCACAATAAGTAGAAAAGGACAGATAACAAAAGGAATTGGAGAACTCATCGAACTAACCGAACTAGAAACAAACCTGAACTCTTTCCCCAAACCTTTTCGCATTAATTGCTCATTCCCTCATGGAGCTCCCCGCGAGCCACAAGGCAGCCAAGCCAAGTAGTGGTTAGAAATGGCTAAGAGGAACTATAATCCTCTCCAGCACCATTAGTCCTCTCGTGGTCGATAATCTTGAGCCCCTGCTTGTCCGCTTCCTTGCGCAGCCAGCGGAGCACGCAGGTGGAGATTTCCTCACGAGCCTTCTTCTTTCCAAAAACGCTGCGAATCGGGCCAATTTTGGCCGGACGTGGACCTTTCGGACGCTTAATCACTGCGTCCACGTCGTACAGGCCGGGCGCGTGGGGATCGGCATGGAAGATGTACTCCGGGGAGGTGAAACCTAGTTTTGGGCAAATGACTTTTTTTGGCTGGTCAGTGATTGTGTGAGGAAAGTGGATCGGGTGGGGGGGGGGAGGGGGGACAAACGATTGACAATCTGAGCCGTGGGCGTCCCCTCCGGGATGTCTATCACACCTTCGGGACCGTTTGCAGCTGTCTTTGGAGTCCGGCCATTAACCGGAGTACCTGGAGGTGCCTGTTCACGAACCCACAAGATGGCCTCTTTGGCCGCGGCGATCTTTGCACTCTTCTTGTTCTTGAAGGCACGGTGTTTATCCCCAAAGACCATACACTCCACGCCCGGGCATCCGAATTCCGCACTCAACCTTATTTCGCAGGAATAACCGGCGCCGGGAGTAGCATAGTCGGTGTATTGGGGCCGAATCTGCTTTCCGTTGCACATGTCTGGTTTCGCTTAGCCCCCGTAACTTGTATTTTGTACGCATGTATGTATGCAGCGCGGAAAGGAGGGGTGAGGGTGAGGGCGAAGGCGAAGGGAATGCAGTTATCCAAAGGGGGGTGAAGTGAAAATACCGCTCAACAAGCCAACCCAATTCTCCGGTTCTTGCTCCATAGTGAATAACCGGGACGATCCATCCTTAGGCAGGCTATTAACGTAGTCAATGCCCAACGCTGCAGCTGCCTCCTTCGCGTGTCGTTTAGATGGGAAGATTCCGTCAATGGGAATCTCCCTAGTCTCGAGGGGTCCAGCCAACTTTAAAACAACAGTGAACTCTTGCGGCTTGCTCTGCTGGAAGGTGAACATTGGGGTCAATCTGACACGGGACTGGCAGAGTTCATGGAGGTCCTTTGCATAGGTAGTAGTGATTGATGTTGTGAGAAGGATTGGTTGTCCAGGTTCCTTGGCCTCCCTACTCTCCTCCTTGTTGCGCTTCTTGCGTTTGCCCTTTGGCGGCGGGGCTTCATCTGTCCCTCTTCTCCCCTTCTTATCCCCTTCGCTACGAGTGTTACTACCCCCATCCCGACCAGTTACCAGCGACGGATCCTCCTCATCCTCCTCATCTCCCTCCCCATCCGGCGCCTCCGAGCCGGCCTTCACCTTTTCTTCGGGGGTTTTATCCGAAGACTCGGTGGAGTTCAACGCAAGGTAAGAATCAATAGGCTCCAATACCACAGGCCTATCCGCCCATGGGTTTCCATCAGAGTAGCTCGCGTAATTTGCGTCGGGGGGAAGGGGTGGTGAGGAGGAGGGATCTGGCGATGTTGGCGGAGCCTCGTCCCCCGGGTCCAACGGTTGCAGCGGAATAGCATCCAGATCCATATGATGGGAGGCCAATTCCGTAGGCGGCGTATGGAAGGGAGGGCTGTGCTCGGGAGACGGTGACGGTGACAGCGACCTGGTCTCCAAGGTTTCCGAGGCCATGGTTGGCCGGCCGTACTGCGACGAGGAGGAGAAAAAAAAAAAGTACTCCACTAGTTGGGAAGGGGGGGGGGGGTCGATCGATGGAATGTGAGTTTCGCTTTTTTTTTTCCTCACTGTATAACGGTAGCTGGAACTGATAAAAGGGAAGGCACGATAGGGTAGGGCCCAAATGCTGAAGAGATGCCGTACCTGATAGCCAAAAGCCCAAGACGTCCTTTCTCAGATTTTTGGCAGTATCATAAGGGGGAGCGGAGGGTGGGGTGTGTTCTTCAGGACTCCAGCCCAGCCCTTTCATGGTTAGGTTAGATGTTGTTTAAGACTCAGACACTGGAATCCAGCACATACGATTAGCGAGCACAATCCGTGCTTGTCAGTGGGCCAGAATCTTGGCGGTAGGCCTAAAGTTGCTGAAGAAGCCCTTTCCCGCCTGCATGGAGGCGGAAGAAAAACAAAAAAAAATGGTCCGCAGCCTTCCCTCTTGATTATTCCCCCCGTTCCCGTCTTGAGCACCCGTGCTGAGTATTCGTGAGTTGGGAAAAGGTGTCCCAATATGGCCATACCTTCTGTCAATCGACAAAGGTGGCTTCTCATCTCAAGACTTCTGGAACAACTCCTGATCGCCAATGCAGCCCGGGACATCCTGCCCTGTCTCGGGAACTAGTAAAAGTGACTACCAAGACTGCAGTTCGTCCGGGTGGAACTATCCGGAGCTGGACATTCCCAAGGCCGGAAGTTCAGCTGCCCGTGCAGTAGACTCTCGGAGCTGAACTTGACCATATCCCACTGCCGGTACTGTACTTGTATGGGATCTCGAGTGTTTTTCTACTTGGTCCAAGGTGCAGAATCACGCGCCGTATCATACCAATCCCCCCGTGGGACCTTCAGAATAGGGTGTATCACACTATCCAACCCTCTGCTTGAGGGTAGGGTAGAATTAACTCAAGGCCTGCTCTCGTGGCCACTATTTGCACCCCGTGAGGAAACCCCAAATAGCTCCTCAGGCTGCAATATGGACCATTTCTGATACGTCATTTACACCACCACCCGCCACGGGGGATCCGGAATCCGAAGCCGGTATACCAAATCCTTCGACGGAAACCTGCATCATCATCACCATCACCACCCCCACGACGCCACAATGAGAATAGAGGCGCACGATTCTGATACTATGCCACCCCATAGCGCGCCGCCACCGCTGCCCCCACCGATACGCCTTAGTTCCTTTCGCTGGGAGAAAGGGAGCATGTCACCTCCTGTGGCGAGAGTTCTCTATGACGGGTTCTTGAGTTAGGCGTAGTCTATATACGTGGAGCTTTGGCTGTGCCTTATAGCCGTTTATCCCACGAAATCCCGGCTCCCTAATACTCGAGTAGTGGTGGAGGAGGGTTTCACTCGGAAGGCCTACTGTAGAAGTGAGCTACATTTCATCACATCACAATTACCTCGGGTTGCAGGAGCGGGTCGGCGACAGGACCCCTTTGGCTGGCCCTATGGAAGAACCGATTGCGTATCTTACACCTTGAGAACTCCAACCCAACATAACTAAATCACAACCCTTCAACCCCCCTCTCCCTCCCTCCAGCCACCTTGACACCTCGACTAAAGGGAGAACACCCAAGGATGGTAGATGCCCCAGACCGCACCCTTTCACTCCTCCCTCCTGCCCCGATCTCGCGACCTTCTCATGATGAGATTTCTCCAGGAGGAAGGGGAAGGAGTGAGCGCCCGTGCTAATCACTAGCGGTAATTTGCCTACTATGTTAACTGACCAACAAGCATGAGATCGGATCAGATCATATCAGATCAGACCAGTCCCAGAAAATAGAGTACTGTGCAGCAACGCCCATAAAGTTCCCATACCCTTCAGAGCACCCCAAGAACAACCCCCTGTGAATAGCCCCAACCTATTGGGTAACCTTGTGATATCATATGATAATAATATGATACTCCAATATTCCTCCAGGACATTCTAAACTTTTACCCTACTCGTTCCCTACTGAACAATAGAAAGGAAGGGCAAGGGTTCGCAGTAACTCGTATCATAAGTGCGTGGAAACGTTGCATAAGTGCTACACCACACCCCCGAGCAGAACCCAAAATATCACACCCCCCCTCGGCCTCACCGGCATCCCAAACCCCCGCGCGTAGTACAGTATTTCATATCACACAACGTTGACAAACCAACCAACCAATTGCGCAACCCTCACATGCCAAACACACACACTCCCCCTACCCGCCACCCGCCCCGGAACTCCATGATATATAGTGGATACACAACCCCAACAATCCCCACATCAGTACGCCGCCTATTCCGGCTTCGAGTGAGCGGCCGTGAGGCCACGATGGCGGCCTGATTTCTATCTCATTCCATTCATTACCCCCTTTCCTTCACTTCCACCATCCACATGGGGAAAAAGAAAAAAATCGAAAAATTGAAAATATATGTCACTCGTGTATGATATTGTACATAACAAAACGGGGTGTGTTAACCCCCCCACCACGTATTTTCGACGTATGCCAGGTTGCGTTTTCGATTGATGGATTGATGGATGGATGGATAGTGAGCTGGTGAGATTAGATTATGTGGGTATCCGTTGCTGATGGGTTAGATGGATCGATGGATTGGATAGGTATTCGCGGTTCGTTTGGTGCGGTGGATATCTAGGGGGCGGACCGGACAGGACAGGACTGACTAACTAACTAACTACCTGACCGGTCGGTCCAAAGATGGGTGTACGTATCACACGACGTGTACGATAAAGAGGGTGGTTTTGTGGACAGGGTATTCCCTCCCTACAGGAAGGTAGTACTATGGCAAATTTTTATAGCACTCGTAGCCATAGATGATCACTCGGCTACAGTCCACAGTGTATTATAGAGAGGCTCTTGTGCCGGTTTGTTGAGCGCCATGACGAATGGATGGGTGTGACCAGGTAAATTACGAACGTCTGTCCCACGACGGGACGGCTCGTCGGGTAGATGGAAGTCTCACTCATAGTATGATCGGTGGCGTTTGCTCCGAACGCAATGGCCAAAACTGATATATTCACAACTCCCCGCACATGATGCACATCCAAGTCAAAGTTTTAGTTTCAAGTTGGCGGTATGGTTAGAATCTATTTTACAAAGAGAGTTAATATGTGGCATGTACGGTATGTGTTACACGCTATGGACGGGCTTGCTCTCCTCTCTCTCAAATTATACTATACTATGCTGCTTTTCGCCTTCCTGGAATAGAAGGTTGTTCTGGGGGGAAACTTATGACTTACTCTTCTGATACTACCTTATAAGAATGAACTTGAAGCTTTTATTATCTTGTGGAGGGGGTATTTTTGGATGAGGAAATGCTTATGGCTGGTACTTGATTACAGCTGGATTTCTCACTTTTGTTGTGGTGTTGTTACCAGTTATTGGTATGAGGAGTAGACTATTGCCATCTCTGATGAGTGTGGATTCTGGCCTGACTATTTTGTAAAAACCTCCTACTGGGATTATTAGAGTTTTCTACTGAGGAGGTGGTGGTAGAACACCCAGACTATCCTGTCCCATCCCAGAGATACAAATACTTCCCTGGTCCATTTGACCAAGGATAAGTTTTACAAAGTACAGTAGATCCCTATCACACTCTAATTAAAGCTGAGCCAGTGGAAGAAATTGAAAATAGCTCACTTTCACAGTCTCTTTCCTTTATTGTCCATGCCTACTAACACCACTTCCCTTTCCCACACATCATTCTTATTTCAAGAGACAATTTGTAGCTGGTGTCATACCAGAAATACTGTAAAATCCAGGGATATCTGACAGTGTTGGAATGTGTTCCTTTTATTAGCGCTTTGGGTGGTTATACCATGACTTGAGCGCAACGGATAAGCACCATCTTACAGGTTTAGCAGGATAAACGTGTATGATGATAGCTCAAATCATCACCACAGTCAAAGGACTAAGCCGTAAGTATGCCATACGGAACCTGGCCGCAAAATCAGAAATCCAATACCAATATTCCACAGATGCGCTCACTCATCCATGTATCATATGATATCATACCATACAATACCTTAAACTCCCAAACCCTCTCGCACAAATGAGTAATAGTCAGCATGCCAGAAACCATCCCTTTGGAAATATCCATGATACCGTATCTTACCTACCCACAAGAACTCTCACAGACGGTGCCGGACATTTCAATTAACATCCGGATCCGGAATCCAGATCCGTCAAAATGGTCAGGTAACCCAACCAGCAACGAGGAACCAAAAAAAAAAATAAGTAACCAAAATTCCCAGCAACCCCATTCCACCAGAACCAGCCAACCAACGAACCAACCAATCATGACTCTTCGCAATCCATCGCCATCGTCACAGCACCCACCCCCGCCACTTCGCAGTATGGTACTGTACTGGTACAGCAAAGTACAGTACGATACAGTACCGGTACCGTAGCACCACCATCAACACCCAAACCAACCTCCAAAAACAAAAAATAAACCACGAGTGAGACATCATGACGCCATCCACATTTCCCCATACGATACCTACCCCACATCGGCACGGGGCATGTAGTAATCACCCGTTCAGCGTAAAGGGCGGGCTCGTACAGAGCGGGAATTTGCCCTTTGGGACAGTCGGGAGTCGGTGTCTAGGGGGAATGGCGGTGTACTATACTATGCTTTAAGTCGTGTCCCCCTGAACTTGATATGGTGCCGGTTTGAGCATTTTCCACTGGTCAGGGACTGGTCCGCGTGCGGACACCGGAGGGAGGGGGGGGGGGGGAACATTCTCGTCGGAGTTTGGCCATTTGTTGGTTTTCTTGAACGGCAAAAATCGGGGGATAGTCGTGATAGTGTTATGATATGATATGCCCGCCACCTTTCAAATGTTGGTCGCCCTCATATCCATCACGAGGATTTTGCAAGGTATGATACCGTACTGCGCTGTGATATCATACCGTGCTCGAGTACACAGACTGGACACCAATAGGCCATCACGGAACACTGGGTAGGCTCGCAGAACGGTACTGTACAAGAGAGACTTGAGGGGTGGTATGGTATGGTATGGTAGAACGGTTAAACTCCTAGCAAACAAATCCCACCCACCATACTATCGTACGGGATATAGAGAGCCAAGCAGACAAAACAGACTAAAACAAGCGATTCTCTCCCTTAAGACAAACTCCTAGATACCGGTAATGTAAAAGCACAGTTTACCCCCGTATAATAACTGCACCATAGAGGTGGTGAAAAGAAACACAGCACGCTCGCTTTTGCTAAAACTAGATGCGTAGATGGTGGAAAAAGAAGGAATTTAAAGAAAAAAAATGACTCCCACTCATCCATGCATCACTATCCATCGTCGAGCAAACAAAATAGCCTAGCCTACTACTCGTTTAAATATACGCGAAAAGGGGTAAATAGTAAAGTTAACGAAATTTCTGAAGGTTACCGGTAATAGCGAAATCAAGATCAAAAGGCCTCATAATAGAAAGAAGAAAAAAAACCAGAATTTTTAATTTTCCTCAGACACCGTATTCAAGAAGTCGATCAAAATCAAATCCAATCAAAATCAAATCAAGGGCACAGTAGACAGGCAGATGGAACCCAACGATAAGTGAAGTGAAGTAATCCCCAAGGAAAGGAAAGATAAAATAGATAAGAGGAAGGAAGGCAAAACAACCCAGCTAGGAAATTGAAGAAAAAAAGGACTACCATTTTTAAAAAAGGAAAGAGGAAAACCAACGCAGCCAAACTAAATCAGGCCAAACCAACAAAGCCGGTGATGATGATGATGATAGAAGAACCCCCCTTTTTTTAATCGAGAATTGGGACAGTAAGTAAAAAGAGGAAGCTCGACAAAAAAGAAACAACAAGGGAAAGAAAAACAGGTAGGAAAAAAGAAAAAAAGCCAAACATTTTTTTGCGCAACGCCAGATGTAGCTATCAACACTCCCAACACCATCCGTCACATTCCCTTTCCTTTCCCTTGCATGAATTCCATTTCCTAGCCTTCCCCTGTCAACGACAGCATTTCATTTCCATTATAGGTTGTTTTTGTTTTTGTTTTTCGTATTCATTTTCCTCGCCACGATTCCGGTTATGGTTCCCCCAAACTGCAAAAGAGAAAAAGACAAAGGAGAAGCGAAGCAAGGTCAAATAGGTTTTCGGTCTTTAAGCAGCATAGACGGAGTGGTATCCACGAGAGTCGGCCTCGAGACGGTCCATTCTGCCATCCTTGGCGGCCAAGTACATCGTATTCATGCGCTGCATATCGAGAGGGTCGGTGGGATCAGTCGGTCCAGGAATTGCGCCTGGCGGTCCCGGAGGTGGCATCTGGCCCGGTTGAGGAGGCGGGTGCATGTGAGCAGCATGAGGACTACAAAAAAGGCAAGGCGCAAACAAATCAGCAAACAAAATCAAACAGCCATACTCCAAAAATCGTCACACATGAGAGAGAAAGAAAAAAAAAAGAGCCCCAGTACAATAAATGCCCTAATGGGATAATGGACAAGAACGATCCTGCTGGGAAAATGGAGACATCGAAATCGAAGCGTCTAAGAGGGGGGATATGTAAAGGGGAGAAAAAGAGTAACGTGTAATAGATACATCGAACTATAAAAGAGCTTAGAGAAACAGAGTAACTACTTTAAAGGCGCAAAAGACGCATAATGATGCTGAGGAGCAATGCCCATCGACGGATAAACTGGTGGAGGAGGAGCAGGCCTATAAGGAGTGCCCGCAGGCCCAGAGTTGTTTTGGCTTCGTCCCCAGCTCAATCTAACCCTCGAGTTGCCAATAGGATATCCCTGCATTTGGTTGATTGCCATCTCGGCCGCATGTCTCTGGACAAACTGAACAAACCCACAACCCTTGCCCGGAGGAATCTTAACATAGGTGATCTCTCCAAAGCCTTGGAAGAATGAGCGGAGCTCGTCCTCGGTAACATATCCAGAGAGTCCACCGACAAAAACTGTAGTATTGTTGGGATCGGTGAATTGGTTCATTGGCTGGGGGGCGCCATAATAGCCCATAGGAGGAGCTCCCATAGAGTACATACCGACAGGGCCGGGCGCTCCCGGCATGACAGGACCGCCCGTAGTGCTCTTGTTCTTAGGAGTCGCGGTGGAGATACGCATGGGACGATTACCACAGTACACGCCTTGCATCTCAGTCAAAGCACGCTGCTGATCCATCTCGTCCGAGAACCTAACAAACCCATAGCCACGAGACATCCCGCTAACGGGATCCGTCATAATCTTTGCCGACTTGCAAGACGGGAATCTTGACTGGAAAAGGGAAACGAGGACGTATTCATTGACCTCGGGTCCAAGGTCACCAACGAAAATAGAGTACTCAGGTCCACGATCGTCACTACATGAAACTTGATTAGCCAATGTGAACAAGGCAAACCAATAAAAGCATAATGCATACCGTCTATCGGCAAGACCTCCTCCCGAGGCCCAGTTCAATTTGAAAGGACGGTTGCTCCCGGGAATAGGAGTGGCATTGAGCGTCAACGCTTTAGCAGCCGCAGCGGGACTGCTGAAATCAACAAAACAATAACCGGCATTACTAAGAAAAGATAATGTTAGTCATCCCGACGAAAGCAAAATTTACAGGAACCAAGGGGGGGGGGGAGAAAAAAAGAGACCATTCAACTGCTGAGGGGGGAAAACGCGTACCCAGAAAACTTGTCGCGAATCATCTTAACATTAACTCCTTCGCCTAATTGATACCAAACATTTCTAACAAACGCCTCATCGATCCATGGTTCGAGTTCACCCATCCTATAAGGCAGAAGTTAGTTAGCCGTAAACATTCACACGTTACACGAGCAATTCCCCATATCGGTGTCCGAGGCGTCATTATGGCTTCAACATCAAACTTACCACAAAGTCGTCTTAGCATCGCCACCAGCAGCGCCGTTAGAAGAGCCCGCTGCAGAATTGTTAGGATAGGGAACAGGAGATGCAGAGGGTTGCTGTGGAACGGCTTGACCAGTAGGAGGGGGCCCGCCGGCGGAGGCTCCAGTTGGCGAGGCAGAGCCTTGCTGCTGCTGCTGCTGCGAGTAATCGTATTGAAATGACATGTTGTTCGTTCAACCCCGAAAAAAAAGACTGAAAAAAGGCGTAAAAACGATGCGATGGACTGGTTGCTTTCCGTTGAGGTCGGGTAGAGGAAGCTTGTGGCTCTAGCGCCAAAGAAAAAAAAACCCGCTTCTTAAAAGAAAAAAGGGAAGCAAAAAAAGATATTATTTTCGAAACCTGCTAATCGAGCCACAGAGTAAATACTATTGAACAACTATCCAAAGGCTTGAACGACTCGAGGGAAACGGTCAGAAAGAGCGACAAACGAACGTGCACTAAAGGGAGCAGACGGAGACGGGGGGGGGGCAAAGGATTAATGACGGAACGAGAATGAGAGAGAAACGGATTAAAGGCAGAGAAAAAAATTATAGCGGAGGGACAGCAAAAAGAATTGGATCAAAAAAACCCGAACCAATCTTCTTCCATCGGAGAGGAGAGGGGGATTAATAGATACCTTTGATTGAGTTAACCGGCTCGAGAAAAGTACAACTGCAGAAAAATTGCACCGTCGTGATTGACGCAAGGGATGTGGCAAGAAAAATCGCTCTCAGGTAAGGGTGTCGACAGATAATCAAACCGTCAACAACGAAGGACGTGAACTGCGCAAGAATTGCTTTTGAGTCAATACAAATTGAAAGAAGCGAGGGGGGGTTATCAGTGAGGCAGACAAGGAAGGGCAAAAAGAAGGGAGGAAAGGAAGGAGGAGAGGAAGAGAGACACGAACAGTAGTAGTAGGAAATCTGATGATTAGAGGGGGTGAAGGTGGTGGTGGGATGGTGGTGGATGGTTTATGGTGGTGGTGGTGGTGGTGGTGGTGGTGGTGGTGGTGGTGGATGGCAGCGAGCGAGAAGTGTGGTGGTGGTAGTGATGGGAAAGGTCGCGAAGAGGGTACGGGGCAAATTTTTCTCAGGTTTGCCGCGGAAGGGGTGGAGGTTGAAAGTGTGGCGGGAGCCGACCAAGGGAGGGGATGAGGTTTTAGAGGGAGAGGGAGAGGGAGAGGGAGAAAAAAAGAGGAGGGGAAGTTTACTTTTGGTGGGTTGAGGAGAGCCGACTTGAAAGGCGATGACGATGAAAGACGAGCTGAGATGCGCAGGCAACAGCAGGCCGGTATGGGAATGTATGTAACTTGAACGGGGGGGGTTCAGTGGGGAAAGGGAAAAAAAAAAAAAGAGCACGATGCGGGATAGCGAAAGGAAAAGGGTTAAAAGCGTAAGAACCCAAGCGCACAGGGCAGTTATTCCTTTTTTTGTTCCTCCTCGTTCTTCTTTCTTCTCTCTCTTGCCTTTCTTTCTTTCTTGCGATAGCGTAAGGAAAAGAACCCTAACAGCAGAAAAATATAACACCGGCGAAACAAAAAAATGACAAACAAAACGTTTAAAATCCGCACGAGGCTGTGAGCAGGAAAGATGAAAGAGAATGAAGGGGGGGTGGTAGTGGAGGAAGAGGAAGGGGAAAAAGGATAAATTTTGAGTTAAGGGAAAAAAAATGTGTGCGGAGGAAACAACAGGAAAAGGCCGGACCGGGGGATGGAAGGTACTGTGTGAGAGGAAGGATGAGGTCGTAAACAACCTCTCATACCAGTACCAGTGACAAGTCCTGGCCATGTCCCAGACGCACACGCTCTTGCTTTTGCTTTTGCTTTTGGGCTAGCCGTCGTTACGATATTCTCGTCTTACACAAAAAAGACCCCATACTTGCAGCCCGACGAACGGAGGAATGAAGCCGAGATGATTATAATATGGCACTACCGTAGCCCTACCAACCCCCCTCGGGGGGGAATATCATACTCGTGCGATATGTATAATATACGGATGAAAATCGATATCTGTCCACTCCCTCCCCCTCCTCGTGGAGTCTCTCTCCTCTTATTCTTCCCTTCTCTCGCCCAAAAGGCAAGTACCGACAAGTATAGGTTAGCTGTCGTCCTCCTCCACTCGTTCCCAGCCGTTACTTGCTATTCCCTGCCTTCTCCCAATACCGTACTTGTTCCGTGCTAATGATAGCTCCTTCTACAGCCTTCCTTACATTTTCCCTTTATCCTTCCATGCTTCTTCCCCTTCTCTTCCAGTCCCATCCCCAATCCCTCGCCCGCTCTAAAAACAGAAATGACAAAATGGAAAGCAAGAAGGAGAGAGAAAAAAGAAAGGAAAAGAAAAAAGAAAAAAAAAGAGAGGCTCAAAGTACGCACCGCGGCCCGTTTATAACCAACTCCTTGGCCTAAAAATCCACATACGCACTCTACCCGAGGCAGATTACAACCCCATTCCCCCAGTCCAATTCCATTCATCCATCCACTGCTGCGCATAAAAGGTTACGGAAGGAAAAGGCCCTCTGGGTTGGCTGACCGGCCTGGACTGGCAAACCGAACATAAGAACTGATAGACGGATGCGGTACTGGATGAGAGCTCGAGCACAGGCAGTTGATCGGGTCAGGATTGCCACGCCGAGTATAAATAGTCTCGCCCAAAGCCTCATCGCAACGAGATGACCGTTGAACAAATCATTCGTTTATCCGTTCCACTCCATCCATCCATCAATCCACTCATCCACTCCCCCATCCCCCCATTAAGGAAATCATCAGCATCAAAATGTCGAATCTAAGACATTGGGGATCCGAAAAGAAAAATAATAGTGTTTCTTAAATTCCCCTCCTATCGTACACTTGTATATGCCCTATCGTATCCGTACATCTCCACCTCCACCGCTCGCAGCGATGCAACAAAACCACGCACTAGTACAGTACCGTACAGTACAAGTCCCTCCACACCACAATTATTCCGTGGGCCGAGCCACCTGGTGAAAGGGAAAAAAACCCACTTTTTTCTTGAATGCCGGCTTGATGCCCGACAACGGGCGCTGACGGAATTCTTCATTTTTTTTTCTTGTTAATTAGACCTGCCCACTCCCCCATTCACCTTCTCTTCACCCTCTCCCCTCACATGATGACATACCGGTATATTCATTCACAGACGGTCCTATGTGTGGATCCTGGAGCGTTGGTATTATTATTATTATTATTATTATTATTCTTTATTTGCCGCGGGTACATCGGGTACTGTGTCATCATGGGTCCCGAGACCCGAAGGCGAAGGCGACAACCACGACTACGGCCACAGGAAACATGGGGTTGCGCTTGCACTGTACCGGTACATACGGTACACTTGAGTATGATACGGCACTTATAAGTTTACAGTAAAGTACAGTAAGCAGTCAAGATCTCGGTTTCCACTTCGAAAGTCAATCCAAAGCATTCCTCTCGCCCTCGAAATCGCGAACCAATAATGGTACTGCTCGTATGTTGAGTTCTCAATTTTAGCCTCCCCCCCCCCCAATCCATAATTATCCATCCACCCACCCATTCCAATCCCAGGTAAATGGAGAAAAGCTTACACTTGTACGCGGGGAAGTGACCTTCTAGAAGATCCCAACAACAACCACAACCACCTGCCGCAAACAAATTGCTACTACCGGACCTCCCACCCCAGCCACAGTCACCATGAAAACAGGAAAGAAAAGAAAAGAAAAGAAAAGAAAAATCACGGGGTCATACACACACCATCCAAGGTACAGTACGATACACGAGCATGCCGAGTAACATACCCACCGCCAACCATCACTTGTGCACACAGTACCCGAGTAGACTACGGTACTTGTACTTACCTCTTTGTGAAACATTGCACATTGCATCGCCAGCGTGGTAGAGTTCCTGGGAGGTGAGTGAGTACCGCACTCCGCTGTGCCCGTATGTAAGGGGGAAGAGGGGTGGATCATGGAGTACCGTATGGTGGTGTGGGAGGGTGCGGTAAGGGGAGAAGAAGAAGAAAAAAAAAAGAGCATACGATGCGCCCTCCGAGGATACCGGTGCCATAGGTACAGTACAGTACAGTACGGTACCCGTAAATTTACAGCACTCGTACAGGAGTCTGCACACGGAGAGGCGAGGGAGGCGGTGGGAACGGGAGGGAAGGTAGGAGGATGCACTGGACGGCACGGTAAAATACCAAAGGTCAACATCTGTCCTCTTGCGAGCGGGCAGGCAAACATAATTCCTTCCTATTGGGAAGTACTCGTACAATATGCGTAGGGTCCTTCGGTCGATATTACCGGTATACTCGTAAAAGGATACATGTTCCTGGTATACATTTCTTCCTAGCACAGTAGTGTACCGGTACCCGGAGGACCTAAGAAAGAATAAAATGGACCCCGAGATATTTTTATAATATCATAATACCATGATAAGTTACCGCCATCTCATCTACCGGTAATTGTATGACAGCAATTGTTCGTGATACCGGTATGCGAGTTCCAACCACAACATCTATCACAATCGCGTGGTGCTTGCCCATCTGTCTCCTCCTCCTCCTTCTCCTCCTTCTTCCTCCTCCCCTTCCTCCTCCCCTTCCTCATCCCGCTCAGCGGCACATATTTCCATTTCTCCTTCCCTCCCTCCCTCCCTACACTTCCCAGTTCAGCTCAATCTGCGAGCCACTCGCAAAACAGCACGCAAATTCCTCACCGCCAGCCAGAGGGAGAGCACACTTTTTTTTTTTCTTCTCCTTTTCTCCACCCTAAAAAAATAAATTCTAACCGATCGACACCTTGCAGAGCCCGAAACGGAATTCCTGAGCACTGTGACTCCCCTCCGCCAAGAACGGTGCGAAGAATTTAGTAACGCCCAAAGTGGATGGATGTGCTATGATATGGCGCTGAGTAACGGTACCGAGAATTCTCTCCTTCTTGCTCTTTTCCTCCCTTTCTTGCCAATGCAGCATGGGGGGCGTGCGGTACCGGTATTGTCGGGCCAGGAGGGTTATAACCCCTGACTACAATTTTTACTTACGGATGCTGGCGAGCAAGTTCAGATGGTTGGACGAAGAGAGAGGGGGAGGGAGAGAGACAAAAAAACTAAAATTACCGTACCGGTACTCGTGCGGTACAAGTACTCGTACAGTACAAAAAGGCATCGTAAACCCCGAAGAAGGGCTATCAATGGGTCATAACTACCGACGACCCGAGATATAAAACCCCATACTCCGAGGAACTATGATAATAACCTACTCACTCTCGCTTTGCGTTTCCCCCTTGCAATTTATCATGTATCTCCCCTCTCCCCCATGGAACGCGGCGAATGCATAACAACACCTATTTATCATACAAGTACCCGTACCGTGAATTAGTGTCGTGCTCTTATAGGCCGATCCTGAAACCCGTTCATCGTCACATGCTGTCATAAATTCCCCGAGAATCGCAGCAGAAGGTTCGTCGTCCGAGGCCCCCGATTGCCAGAAGGGCGCGCGATTTTAGGCCTACCCGTAGCGGCCCCAGTGCTCCGAACTCCCCGAGGCGAGAATATGCAGTTTCAGACGCAACTGCATTGCCCGGCACGTTTTTCTCTATGCTAGCAATCGGCGCGCCAAGCGTCAGCCCGGCATCAGAGAACTCTGACGCATCCCTGTCTTTTGTTCTTCTCCACCCACCTCTTGCCAATTATCTTGCTAGAGCTAGGGATGCTAGTCCGGCCACTGATATGCATCCCCCTCCTTTCAGCGGGTGCCCTATTGTTGCCATTAGAGGCTGACGGTACGGGCATGTATTTTCTCCGGACAGGCTATAATACCGGTATGGACTGGGTCTTGTGTGGTTCACCTTCTACTTTATCCGGCCCATTAACCTTAACTTCATCGGACCGCACCCTGCCATCGCTGTCTCTCCACAAACGGCTTGTATCAGATGGGGTGGTCCGCTTTTGGCCAGGCGGTACGAGCATCGATGGGTCCTCACCAATCCCCGATTGAATGCTCGCCTTTTTCACCCAGCTGTCGTTGGTTTCGGTGCTCGCACCCGGCTCTACTCGAGCATCGCCTTGGGGACGATGATGATGATGATGGCGCTGAGTAAGGATTCGGGTCAGAGCCAGCTTCTTGTTTTACACCGGAAACGGGAATCTAAAAAAGCGAAGGATCTTGATTTCACGAACCGACGATGAGCCGGAACCTTTCTGGCTAGAGGATCCGGCAAGTTCCGCTACTATCACCTGCAGTGTCATTTGACTTGTCATGTTACAGCAGCCCAATTACCGGTAGTCTCTATCCGGGCATCACTTGTTCAGCATACGATACTGCTTGTGCAGCTGGACTGGTGACGGAGCCCATGGTAATAATGGGACCTCTTTGTTTGACTTGGCAAAAATGTCGGGAGACTTTTGCTTTTTCATTTCCCACTTTCAAAGGGCCCTTGCCTATGTCCCGGACGCACCGGCCGGTGGTATACTTGGATGATACAAGGCGTACCAGTAGTCTAGACACGATCTCTGCAACAGCTATTCTAAGATTCTTAGAAATCTCCCTTCCCCAAGACATTCCTTGTGGGGGCCCAGAAAATTTGGCTTACCAGTCAGTGCCTTTATCCTTATGCACGTGCTTGTTTCCGTTTTGTTTGGGGAAGTAATGCAAGATATATCATTGGTGGTGGCATGCGGATTGGGAGTGGAATCTATATGATATGTCTAAGGGGCTAAACAAGGTATGATAGCTCGCGATAGAGAAGGAGGAGGGGCTGTTGCTCTCATACGCAGAGTACCCTACAACTCTATGCACTTCCTTGCATGCAAATGCGGAAGCAAAACGTCCCATGGCGTCCATGTGTCAATGCTGTACCCTACTGTACCAATCTCCCGAGAGCCGATTCCCGAGTGATACGCTATGCGTGACAACGGCTTAGTCATCAGACTAAATGCTTAAGTTAGCTTCGCATGACAAGAAGGCTCATATGTGACATCATCAGCGTTATCAACCACGACTACGAGTAGTCCTCGCATCAAGGCTCCAACTCTGTCCATGATTTCCCCCGATTGCGGGATGGCCTCCACACGAACTCCTGGGCTGGCGTCCCTTCCCCCACCTTTACCCTCGCCCGCCCCGTCCGACGCATCGAGCATCTTCTCTTACCGCCCACTACCCCACCCTCGCCCTAGTCCCCTAAGACCCGGCTCTCGACCGGAGAATTCGCTGATTGCCTTTCTGGACCACGAGCTCTTGCAAGTTTCCCGGAAATATGCGAAGAAGTTCAACGATGGGGGGTACACTGATGCTGCGGAGATAGCCGATGACCTGGAGAACCTGGTGGACTTGCTGTGGGTTTCCTCTACCCGTAGGTCTTCTTCTTCCCTGTTTGCTTGTTTTGGTTAATGGATGTTTGGTGCTGTACTGGTATGGTATCTGCCGTATGATGTCCCGTGGGCGATTGTACGGTAACTGTGGCCAGGCTGATTTTGCAAACTTCGTAGCGTCTCTGCAAACGCAGTATCTTTTACAAATAGCAAACTCGTTTAACGATTACATATCTTCATTCCCCCCGAGCTTTGGGTCGACTTTGAGATTGCTTGACAAGCTTGATCGGTGCTTCCACTCTCTGATCACTGGATCGTCTACTGATTCATATGCCCCGCTATTACCGGCCCTCTCTGGTTACAGGATGAACATGACTGAGAGGGTCAGGCTCAAGAGCGTTATAGAGAGGACAAGGCTGCATGTTGTTGGTCTGGCGGAAGGGACGATGGAGACCCCTAATCCGCCGGCGGAAGAAGACGTGCCGGATGTGGGGGGTCGGGAATCTGAAGGTTCGCCGGCGGATGCTATGGACGGGAGCTCCGAGGAAGAGGATGAAGCTCTGGAGATAGAGTTGTCGAAGGTTTACGAGAGAAGCCTGGTAGAGATCGGGGAGAGCTTGAAGCGGGAGGAATAGGGTTTCCATAGCGCTTACCGGTATCTTGAGTACTCGCGTTCCTTACGGATAATGTAATCTTGGGCGATCGTACTGGCACCGCCAAGCGATTTCCGTGCTGTGTTGAGTAGACTACATGTATCACTGTATCATAGTTGTCTTGTGTTCATGGGTGATGAGTTGCCTGTGTGGCTGGTGAGCCTGACAGCTTGAAGTGGCTGGTGGTGAGGCGGCTACACTGCGGCCTGAAAGTTGCGACTTGGGAGACAGGCAGCAAGCAAACAGCCTTGCTTCTACTGAGGACAGATTTTTTTGATTTTGGCGGGTACAAGTACACTGCCGCGGCTGCTGTCAGATGCTTTTGCTGTGCTACACACCCACCACCACAAACCGGGCTTCTTTCTATTTAATTTAATTTTTCTTCGTGCCCTGCTTCTTTCGTTAACCCTAAATCGCAGCCGCCTCCGAACGGATCCATAATTCGCTGGGTGATTGACTATTTGATCTGCTCGGAAAACGGTGGCTTCTTAGATGTCACTGAGCGGCCTTTGAGTGGTTTGTTCTATTTCTGCTGGAGCTCACTGACTAGATCACGAAAGCCCTGTACTGGGCTGTGCTCGTACATACACACTTATCTGCTTCATCTAAGAAACCTGATCCCAACAAACTCGTCATATCATCGAATCAACTTGTTCGATCCCAATCCAATAATGTCCGCATTGCCTCCTTTAAAGCGGAGACCGACTGTCCTTGTACACCTACTCCCCCTCCCGTCCTCTCGGCCATGGCTCCTCTGCGGTGCTTACCCGAGTGCGGTGCAATGTAGGTTACGGACACCCGGGACTCCACTCCGCGAAGCCGCCCCCCACCTCAACGCCGGCCGTCAGCACCATCAATCCCATCCATGGTAAGGTTCATAAGCGTCGACTCGGTCCTGCAAGAATCTTCGCAGATACCGTCGGGGCAGAGCCGCAATCCGCTTGCCCGAGCCCGCGGAGCTCCACCATCCACCTCCCACTCAACAAAACCGAAGCCCTCGGATCCCAGGCGATTCCTGGGCCAGAACTTGCCCGTCCGGTCGTCGAAGCTTTCGGAAAAACTCGTACTGCTCCCGGAAACCGAGGAGGAGGCGAATCGCTGGGGGTATGGCGATGACGACACCGAGGACGCACCGATCAAGGACGACGAGGAGGAGTGGAGGGGTAGGCTTGAAGCGGATGAGGAGTCGGCGGAGCAGCCTCCTAGGAAGAGTTACGCTGAGCGGTTACCGAAGTCTCGGAGGGCGGATAAACTGAGCCGGGTCACCGCTTACTGCACGGCGGATGCATACAGGCTCGAAGCTGCGTCCAAGTTTCTCAGAGAGAAGCATTCGGCCAGGACCAAGTTGTATGATGAGTGCCTGTATTGCGCGTACCACCTGCCGATAATGTCCGGGAACGATGGGTATAGGGTTCGCTCTTCGCCAGTTTTGAAGAGCCCCGGTGGTAAAGCGGTCTTGGATGTACAGATTGAGAGGTCTGAACAGAGGGATTATCACGAAGGGTACTTTGAGGATTCGTATACCGGGGAGAGACGGGTTAGTGGGGATGGAAGCTACGAGGAGGATGGGCATTCGAAATCTCTGGGAAAAAACCATGAATTTCCACAGGATGGGAGAGACGATCACCACACCTACAGTCAAGGATACAGACCGGAGAGCCCGAGAGACTCGCATATGAATGACATGAAGGCCTTTGCTGAAATGTTTGTCTTCAGCTACGGGGTTGCAGTTTTCTGGGGTTTCTCCGAGAGACAGGAGAAGGTGCTGAAGACACAGCCTATCACTTGTTATCCGCCCAATGCTAATTAACCATACTAGGACATCCTCGCAGACCTCACCTTTGCTCAAAACGATTTCGGCATCCAACTCACCTCCGGCCGCCTAAAGGAAGACGAATTTGAGAGTGAAGAATTCCACTTCCAATACTCTTCCCGCACCAGATCACCCAGGGTAAACCTATAACCCTAGCCCTGGTGCCCGGCCCCAGTGCTAATGACGGGTGAATTGCTTACGGTAGATATACAACGACATGATAACCCTCCGCTCCGGCGACATAATGATCAAACTCGCAATCTCCCACGCAATCGCACAATCCACAAAACTCTGCCGCTTCGAAGAACGCATGAACTCCACCATGCTTGGCGTTCAGCACATCCCCAAGAAGCTTGCCCTAACTGGTAAGCTGGGCATGAAGCGCGAGGAAGTGGTTAAAATGAGCGGGAAACTATTCAAGCTGCGTGTAGACGTAAACCTTTGTACTGTCCCCACCTTCCCCCCTCCCTGCGGTCGGACTGACCAGGGGTAGCAAGCAACGTTCTCGACGTCCCCGAATTCTTCTGGGACGCCGAACCAACCCTGCACCCCTTATATGCCGCCGTGCGCGAGTACCTGGAAATCGGGCAGCGCATCCTAGTCCTCAACGAGCGCTGCAGGGTATTCCTAGATCTCACGGACATACTCTCGGACTCCATTGCCGATAGCAACATGTCCAGGATTACGTGGATCATTATCATACTTATCGTACTCTCGATCTTTGTCACTATCGCTGAAGTGGCGATTAGGTTTGGGCTGTTGAGCGCTAGGAGGAAAGCGGGAGAGTTGTGAAGGGGTGTGTGTGTAAAATATGCATTTCATGGGGGGAGGGTTAATTGTTAATTGTTTGTTGGTCGCCCCCTGTGCTTGCTATGGAAGAGAAGAGCTCGGGCGAATATGATTATTCTTCCAAAGTGAAGGGGAAGGGTATTGTGTGTAATTTGTAGTCTTCATTATTGCATCATTTCTTCTTCTTCTTCTTCTTTCCTATCCCCCTCCCTTTCCTCTCCTCTCCTTTCCTTTCCTTTCCCCCCTATCATACTCTTTTTCATCCATTCAATAGCATAGCGAACCATAGGGTGTCACTCGATACAATTTACTCATTCATTCATTTATTTCCCTCCCCCCCCTTTCGCTAGGTAATCAACAAAGTGAACAGTCCCCTCACTCACCCTGACCCGCCAGATTAATCCAACGCGGCTTCGCACTGTGCGGTATGGAGGTTGTTGGATTGGATTATTCCGAGGGCCTGGTGGGGATGCTGTAGTGTACTACTTGTGCTCTGATGATGATCGTTCATCTCTTCTAACCCTTTTTTTTTTTTTTGCATTTTCAGTTTCATTTTCACCATTGTACTTGCTCAGTAGAAAGGATGGGTTGCATCCAAGAACTATAAAACTATCGGCACATGTACGGGGGGGGGGGGCAAGGATCAATCAAGGTCAGAGAGTATCACTCGAAAACAACTAACCCTGTTCTGTTATATCATACGCAGATACATAGATACAATAGTACATATATACAGACGTGCGCACACCAACAATCTCACAACATAGCAATCCAACACCAGACCTAATCCACTATTCGCTATCCCCCTCCCCCTCCCCCTCACTCCCGCCATCACCACCCTCTCCATCATCCACCCCCAAAAACCTAAAGTCCACAAAACTCGCGCGCCCCTCCCACTCCACCATGAACTGCAAACTGAGCACGCCCGCCTCGTCGCTCCGGACACTAACCTTCGTCGCGACTGCCATGGCTACACGCGCGTGCCTGACGAGGTCGAAGCGGTACACGTCCTTTGCACGTTCCCCCACCATGAAGGTTTCCAGGAGGTCTCCGTCGTTGCTGAATTGGACTGTTGTGGTACCGAGTGGGGAGGTGGAGGAGAGTGTGAAGTGGGGCGGTGTTGGGGATGTGAAGATTACTAGGAGGGAGGAGGAAGAGGGGAGGAGGGCAGAGGAGGAGGAGAGTTCAGTGATGGCATCGTGGAGGAGGGAGGATTTTAGGATGATTTTCCGGGTTAGTGTTGGGGAGAGGGGGATGTCGGGGAGGGGGGCCGGGGTGTAAGCTGTTAATTCGCAGGTGGTTGTTATTGGGGGTTCCTCTAGGCTGGTGGGTGTCATTCGTAGTTAGTTATTTGGGGATTTCGGAAGGGAGGGAAGGGGGTGGAGGGGGAGGTACGTCAAGCATAAAGGAGCACCTTCCTCGTATAGAAACCTACACGTCCCGGCAATTCTCAAGATGCCGTGGTCGAAGGCACTTACTCCGGCGGTCCCCCCTGACCAGCCGTCTCCGCCTCCCCCAGCTCTGCCTCCGCCGCCTCGCCATTTCCCGCCACCGCCAGCATCCCCTCCGCCAAATATCTGCAGACACTCAAGTAACGCTGTCAAGCTGATACCAAACTGCACAACTGGGTCCTCATCTTCTTCCAAATGCTCCGTCAAGTGCGGTGGTGGATGGAAGGTGTAGGTGTTGAACAGATTCTTGTCAATGAAAGCGTGGCCTAGTGCCGGTCAGTATAAGGGAAGCTTGGGGGGAAGGGCGGATCGATGCGAGGGGACCTTGCATGGCATGCGAGTCCTCAACCGTGACGCGGAGACCGTCGGCCGAGATTTGTAACTGAGCCTTGGATTGGAAGCCGATGCATTTTAGGAGTGTGAGGATTTGACGGGAGGAGGTCGTTAGTGCTGTAAAGAGGGGGGGTGAATCTTGGTTTTCTTGGGTTTCGGACATTCAGTGGGGGAAGAGCGGGCCTGGTGGACGGTGGAGCTCAATAAGGGACTGTAGACACGGGATGCCTTCTATTGTGTTGGGGCGGCTAGGTTCTATGTTGGTTTCCGAATCGTGTGATGTGGGTTGGTGACTCAGGAAGGGGTTGGTGATCGTGATGATTCTACGAGAGTTGTTGCTACCGTCATTTTTCTCAGAGCCGCCATCCACGATGACATCTCAGGGATAAAAAAGAAGCGGAGCAAAGCAACGAGAATTGATATTTAACACCGTTTCTAGAACAAGGCTCAATCGTACAGTTTAAACCCCCCATTCTCCCAGCTGATCATTCAATACCTAAACGTAGACACCGACCGCGCAAATCAAGTATACAGATCCAAACCTACGCCCGTCAGTTACAATTGCTCTGGAGCTATGATACCGTGTGGGGGGCATACCCAAGCGCCAGGGAAGCTGGAATCGCCAATAGGGGGGCGGTCGTGACGGATTTATCTAGAGATTGTTAATCACCATAGCCCTAATTCCGTCGATTGCAAGCCCGTACTTATAGAGAATAACCCCGTGAGAAGGAATCCTGCGGTGAACATTAGCCGAGATCTAGCCTCTCCCTTCTCAAATGCAGCGCGATGAACAAACCTGTCAGCATGAGGACTGCCGCAACAGGGAGATGTGCTTCCTTCCCGACCATTGGCACAAAGGGCTTCATTGAATCCCACTGAGAGTCCATCCTGTTTCGATGATGAACGAAGCTCGTTTGGTTCGATTTGGAAAGTATGTGTTTTCTAGTCGTGATTTTCCCGGTTCAGTCTGGTCGTGTGAATTGGGTTATGATACCTACGATTGAATCCGAGGACACGGATACGGTAGGGCAAATGGGTTAGGTTCTGGAGGACAGCTTGATGGTCCCAGTCGGATAATTACGCACATGAGGGTATTGCCAGGAACCGGATCGGTCTTGGCATATCTATCCTCTTCTGTCTCTGCCTTCTGGAGACCGTATCCTGAACCGACAGACTCCGACCTCTCTGCACACACCGAAATCACAATAAAGCCAACCCACTCTCTTAACCCTTCCCTTTTCATACCACTCACAGTTGGGGCCAAATTTTGCTGCAGACAGAAAAAGGAATCATGCCAGCTGCTAAGAATGGAGGTATGAGGCTTCGCTGCTCGAGCATTCGCTTTGTTATCTGGCCCTTGTTTTGTGCTAGAGCTAGTATAAGAGGGAAAAAACAACTATTAATTGTTTTGATAGATATAAAGCGCAAGTCGGAGGACACTAGTGACCTCTCACCCAAAAGAATAAAGGCCTCCGAGTCCCCTGAGGAATCGAAGAAACCGAAGGCGCTGTTCAGGGAATGTACGTACATTTTGCCTAGGCCACTCGAGTGGAAACTTCTAGTTGGCCGGGTGAATATCTATTGACGTGAGATGCCTGCGCAGCCAACGCTGTCCTTGAAGAGCGCAATGGCGACATCGAATTCCGTGTTGTCAACAATGACAACTCGAGAGAGAGCACAATCATATTGACCGGCCTTAAGAACATCTTCCAGAAACAGCTCCCAAAGATGCCCAGGGACTACATTGCAAGACTGGTCTACGATCGCACGCATCTGTCCATGGCTATCGTCAAGAAACCATTGGAAGTTGTCGGGTATAGCGCTTGATCGCTCGGGAGATCTTCGTAGACTCATGGATCTGATTGGTGTTGTTAGTGGTATCACATATCGGCCTTTCAAAGGTAGACAGTTTGCGGAAATCGTGTTCTGCGCTATCTCGTCCGATCAGCAAGTGAGGGGATATGGTGCCCATCTCATGTCCCATTTGAAGGTATTGGGGGAGATGTTTTGCTTGACCGTTTTCGCGGATAATATATCTAACGTGTAGCTGTTTAGGACTATGTCAAAGCTACCTCGGATGTGATGCACTTTCTCACCTATGCCGACAATTATGCCATCGGGTACTTTAAGAAACAGGGATTCACCAAAGAGATTACTCTTGACAAGCACAAATGGATGGGGTACATCAAGGACTATGAAGGCGGAACTATTATGCAGTGCTCCATGATCCCTCGAGTCCGGTATCTGGAGGGGGGAAGGATGTTAGCGAAACAGAAGGAAGCCGTTCATTTGAAGACGAGATCCATCTCAAAGTCTCACATTATTCACCTCCCTCCAAAAGCCTTCAAGAACGGGATATGCAAAATCGACCCAAATTCCATCGTGGCTATCAGTAAGTTCCGGCTTGGCTGCCTTTATCTAACTTATCCCTAGCACGCGTCCCACCTACTTGTACATACGCCTTTTACACACGCACCCACTCCCAACTCCCACACACTTTTCTTTTTTTTATTCTTTTTTTACAACGATAGCACTGGTGGGTTCTGCATATCTACGAGAATTAGAAGTGTGATAGTGCTGCGCTGCCTCCGGTAGCCACTGGTTGGTTATTCGGATTTAAACAGCTCGTTTAATGGTCCCCACCGACACATCCTCTGGTTTCCGCAGACGTTTCCCCCATTTTTTGCACCTTGCCCGGATGGGGTGTGGAGGAATTCGCTAACTTTATCCTCCTCGAACGGCGCAGAGGAAGCGGGGTGGTCGCCCGAAATGGATGAGCTCGCTCGGCAGCCAAAACACGGGCCGCATTACGGACAGCTTCTCCATATCCTCAACGAGATGCAAAACCACCAGGCCTCGTGGCCATTCCAAAAGCCCGTCAGTCAGGACGAAGTCCCGGACTACTACAATGTAATCACGGAGCCGATGGATCTCGAGACCATGGAGAGGAGGCTTGAGGAGGACATATACGCATCGCCCGAGGACTTTGTCCGCGATGCCAAGCTAATCTTCACCAATTGCCGACGCTACAACAACGAGAGCACATCGTATTGGAAAAACGCGAACAAGCTTGAGAAGTTTATGAATTCCAAGTTGAAGGAGATACCGGAGTGGTCGGTACGTGATCCCCCGTAGAAAACAAAAAAAGGACGGTTCGGAGATGGGAATTTTTGATTCCATCTTTCTTCCCTTTTTTTTGCACAACCTTCCCTCCCTCTTCCTCTTCCCCTTCCACCCTTCCACACTTTATGTGGGGTGTGGTGGTGGAACTTGCATGTTATCCGCCATTCCGATTGGGAAAAAAAAAGGAAAGGGTAATTCGAGGCGAGCTCTGGCTGACTAAGGGGTGGCCCGGGGGCGGGGGTTGATCATTTAGCATCTCGTCGAATAAATGACGTGAGACGGAGAAAGAAAAAAGGTGAGGAACGTGAGGCATTGCTTCCTTCCTCTGAAACGGATCACTATGTGCCATAGACCTGTCTTTTTTTTTTTTTTTTTTCCTTTCTTTCTGTCCTCTGGCGAGATGTAATACTTGGGCTAAGGATTTGTAATGTATTTCGGCGTTATTTCCATGAGAATTTCTTTGTGCGCATGGGTATGGTTGGTAGAGGGGCCGGGGATCTGTCTTCTTGTGTCCTTTCGGGAAACTTTAATTCACGATCGTGATCAAAAAGCACGAGTGTCGTCGCTCAGGTCCGTCCAGCCGCCAGCCGTCCCCACCCACCGGTCTCCCAACTCGATGACCAGCGGAGGGTACCGTACGGTATTCCACAGCACTGCTCATGCAGAAGGGAGTGCAATATCCAACCTTTAATTTTTCTCTGCCTCTGTCGGGCGTATCTCACAACGCACCTTCTCGTACTCTAGCACGAATATAGACGGGTACCAAGGGGAGAGAGAGAAGGGAAAGAAAGGGAAAGAGAGAGAGAAGAAAAGAAAAGAAAAAAACGTATGATATTGCCCATTCTTCTCCCACCTGACGATGGTCTACCGGCACCGCAAGCGGATACCGATACCGGCATTCTCCCATGCTCCGTTCGGACCAGACATGTGGCGACGGTGAATTACTTTCCATTTCCTCCTCCTCGACCGTAAGCTCTCTTTTGCTTACCGTACGCACCTCGGTTCAGTTCAGTTCAGTTCAGTCCAGTCCAGTCATCCATCCTGCCACCCATCCACCAGCCTTGTCCACGGTATAGTATCATGATAACCACATCAACGGTAGCCTTAAAGTGATCATTATCCCATTCATCCATTCATTAATTCAAACAGTGATTCATTCATTCGTTCAATTCGCACACGAGTGATGAGTGAGTGCGAGTGTTCAGTCGGAGTTTTTTTTTTTTTTGTTATCAAGGAAAGGAGAAGAAAGTGCACTTTTGTAAATGGTAACAGGTATGGGGGGGGGGGGGTGTGATACCGTGCTGGTAACTTTATGGTGGTGCGCGTGTCATGGGGCGGGTAAGAATAAAGGTGTGTGGAAGGGGGTTGATACAAGTACAATAAATTGCAGACACGGACAAGAAGGAGGAGGAGGAGGAGGCTATTTATTACTGTGAAGTTAATCCTTACGGCATTGTCCGTCGCATTTGTGAATGAATGAACGAGTGAATCAGCGTTTTATTTGCCGCGCTGAAGATGAAGGAAGGAAGGAAGGAAGGAAGGAAGGAAGGGGGTTCCTGGATTTTTGATTTTTTTTTAGCATACCGTAATTTGAACGAATTGCTACGCTCTGTTACAGCTACTTGTACCACGCTATTATCCTCGTTCACACAAATCTACCCTACTGTACGCTACCCTGCCTGCACACTGTGCGGAGCTTTTATCTAACCTTGTGCTGTGCTGTGCACTTTCCTCCCCCCATGTCCACTGTGCTGTGCAGTACAGTACAGCAGAGTACCCTAAATCCCACTCCCACCCTCCTCCCCCCATGATGGGAAAACATTGACGTTAGAGCAGCGACGCTCGGGTACCTGGAATGTGAAAATCATTGGATGAGGAAAAGAGTGGTTTACCGTACTTTCGTTCGGTCCGAATTGGTATATCGCTGGCCCACCCTGCTTGCCCGCCTTGTTCTGTGTGTGGGTGAGTGTGTGTGTGCGAGGGTTCTTGACAGTACGAGTACGGTGGGGTCATGTGTGGATTGGATGGTTATTACTGTGCTTGACTTAACCGGCAACAGAAGCTAGGCGTCCCCTGTGCGCCATCTTTCCCTACCACAGGTGGTGGTGGTGATGGTGGTGACGACGGATGGCTCGTTTCTCAATCATTTCGCCTGGGCCGTCTTGCGGTACTGTACTCTACGGTATCCGGTTCCGGTATCCGTTAGAACCCCTACCTGCTTGTATATGTTACTGTACGGTACTGTACTCGAGTGCTGACCTACGTTTCGTGCCTGGCTACTTACTCCCGCTCCGCCATAGGTAGACGAGGTGCTGTAGCTATGGTGGCCAAATTAACTACCCAACATGCTTACTGTATAACTTAGCCCCTGGTACAGCAAGTGAGCACTCGCTCCCCTCACGGTTGCGATACTCTCGCCACCCAGTTCGCAGGCGAGTCGGCCACCAAGCAAGAGCTGTGGGCCCTGGAGGGGAGGAGGGGTTTCTGTCTTGGTCCACCCGCACGCCGCCGCCGCAGAGTGCCACGATGGATGGAACTCGGGCTGGGCGGGGGGGGGGAAGGTGTCGGCCAATCGCAGTGCGCCCTCCTTTGCCTGTTGGGATGATGGGCTGAAGGAATGTGGCCTGGATGTGAGTGCTGGGAAAGACCGTGGGAATGGGAATCGGAATGGGAATTGGGGGGGGGGGGGTTTAGGCGGCACTGGGTAAAGAGGCCTTTCACTCTCCTGTTTAATCGCTTTGCTTCCGAGGGTTCAATATAATATTATGTTTAGCACTGGCCGGATATGATGGGGTGCTCGTGAATATCCCCCCTTCCTCTCGCCTCTTGCACGTGCGGTACATGAGCTATAGGGGAAGTACGGTATTTCATATGTACGAGTATTATACAGTGCGGTACGAGTGTAGTACCGGTGCAGGCACCGGTAGCTTAGTACTGCACTGTACTGTACTGTACCATACTCTCACCATGCTCTGCTTCCTCCCCCTCGCTTGGATCCGGAGGCGTCTCTCGGGATCCTTTTTCTATTTTCCGTGCCTGGCCTTCTTCCGCTGGAAGATCCAATGATAATTGGGAAACTTCGATTGGGAAAACTTCTGAATTGAATACCTTGCCCATACACTAACTAACCGTGCCTACTCGTGCAGTACTGTACGTTTTTTTTATGCTATTTTATACTTCTTTTCAGTGTCTGCATGATTTCTCTTTTCTTTTTCTCTTACCCTTCGGCCCTGGAATGAACGAGTAAATAGATGTGTGGTAGTGGGTAGGTTTCTTTATTTTTTGCTTTTTCCGTGTCTGGATCGAGTGAGTGGGAGAGGGGTTTTTTTCTTCTTTCTTTCTTTTCTTCTTCCGCCTCTCTTTCTTTGTCCTTGTCATGCGGTCTTGTATCATAGGGAATAATCGAGCACTATTTTGCGGAGGAGGTTCATGGAGGAGGTCGGAATTATTTACCGGTTTCCATCTGCTGCGGTATGTGTCGTTCATGAAGGGCCTGAAGGTTCAGGTGAGGCCTGATGGGCGAGGAGGGCGTGCTGGGGCTGCTGCTACTGCTGCGCCTGTTCAATTCGCGGGCAAGCATTATAATATCATCAGAGGTTTGCAGTAGTATGCTCATACAGTCGGGATAAATAATATTCCTCCCTCAACGGGTCACAATTACTACCCTAGCTTCAGAAGAATGATCGAAAGGTGGATTTCGCCGTTTGCTGATAATGTGATGGGGATCTTATTGGTATTATCATGGCCATCGCTTTGTTCCTCTGCTGGTGCGGTACACTTTATGTTCGCTCCCTTTTTTTTATTTTTTTATTGCCTCTCTCTCTCTCCCTTCCAATTCCTAAACTTGCCCTTCTCACCTTTTTTTTTATTATTTTAACTTTCCCTTCCCTTCCCTTCCCTCCCTGGGGCGAGTTGCTAGGCGCGTTTCCTCTTTGGGCGGAAACTCCCATTCTCCACTAGTCTATCCACTACCCTGACCAACCGCTGCTGCAGCTCTCTCCGCTGTACTCTGTCCCTCCTCCCTCCCTCCCTCCCTCCCTCTCTTTCCCTCATGCTCTCGCTGCTCACACCTACCACACTCCCTCCACCTCGCACCCTCACCCCCACTCACACACACTCTCTCTAACCTACTTCTAACTATCTCTCGCTCCCTCCAGTATCTCTCTTGAGCATTGCAATACTCCCTTCGGAACCGACTCTCGTCTTCACTCTTTGCCCTTCATTGTTTGGAGCTTTCCCTCACTCTCGCTCTGCCCACCTTTCTGCTCACGCTCGCTTTTTCCCTCCCTTCCTCCAATCTTCTCTTATTCACCCCTCTCCCCCTCTCCCTCTCGTTCCTCTTACGTAGCTCTGGTCATTGCTCGGACTCGCACTCTCGCCGTTCATTGCATCCTCCCCCTCCCTTCGCACCGCACAGAATACAACCCACTACCCGTCATCTCCGAGTGGCTCTTGTCGGAGTGTGAGGGCGGGTTCTCGCGGAGGAGGAACAGGACTCAACGGAACCCTCATCCCTCTCCCTGCTCACTCGCCCGGCTCCGTCGACTCGTGTTGGAAAAGCCTGCCGGATCGACTGCTATTTACCTCTCGGGATAGAAAGAAAGAAAGAAAAAAAAAAGAAAAAAAAAGTCATGCCTGGGCTCACAATTTCCGACGGCGGCGTCTCGCTGGGTGCTGCCCCACCCATTGTGGGCAACGGAAAGGGTGCAACAGTGGTGCATGGACAGCAGGTTATGAGGATCACTTTTGGTGGGGGCGGTGTCCTGGAGGAAGTGCTCAAGCATGAGGCCGACCTGAAGATAACCTTCGGGAAGTCTATGGTACGGGAAACTCTATCGACTTGATGTTCTGCTTGCTTGGCAGGATGAGGCAGATTAATTCTCTAGCCGTCTTTGCCGTGGTTCGGTTGGCTAACGGTTCTGTTGCTGGATTATTTAGAGGCTATTATATGGTGATCACACCATGGAGGTCCTATCCACCGTTGAGTCCAGCCGGCATGAGTTGTATCGAGCCAAACAGGGTTGTTTGGGGGGTGGCTTGGACTTTGCCGGGACCTTTACACATCAACTGGAGATTCGGGAATTATACTCGGAATCTACTGATGAGAGCCTTCGGGCCCTGCAGGAGTCCTATCGCCGGATTAACCAGGAGAAGGAGGCTTCTACGTAAGTCTTGCTTTTGAGTCTAATCGATTCCCATTGGTTTTTTTTGGGTTGTCGGATTCTCTCGCTTTCCTCCCGCCTTGGTCATCATTACTTACTCACACCCCGGATGCAGAACTGTGGTTGTAGATAGCGCTTCGATGCCACCTGCGGTGTCCGGAAAGCGTGCCGCCTACATGAAAAAACAAGCGGCCGCGGGGAGAGGGAAGAATGCTCGGAAGCCTGTGACGCAGCCGAGGTCCTATCCTAGCACGCCACACACGAGAGCCGGAAAATCACCAGCCCTTAGTGATGCTGATGCGGCTGCTCATTCCGCCATGATCAATGCGAAATTGGAGGCGTTGAAGGTTCCGTTAATACACTTGCTCGCTATGGGCCCCGATTCGGAGCAGAACCTCGCCTCCAGAACGAGAGTCTCTGAAGATATGTGTCTGCGAATATTACAAAAGGTTGGGTACAGGGTTTTGAAGCTGTGGGAACTGGTGGATGATGTCTACAGGGATCTCGATATCTGGGAATTTCCATACCCGTCACAGGCGAACCGAGAGGCAGCCATATCGAATTGTAGAGCCGCTTTCAACAGGCTGCGGTTACCGCGGGAAGCGCCCGAGTGGCAGAAGACGCTAGCGCCAGAGGACAGAGGGAAGGTCGATCCATGTCCACCGGCCCCGCAGTCGACCAGGCCAGCGAAGCCTGTGCCTCCGCCAAGCATAAAGGTTATAGGAGACGCCACGGAGCCGTCGCAAGTCTCGCTAACCGGGAAGAAGCCGAGCGGTGATGAGTCAATGAGTAGATCTAATTCACAGAACGCTCCGGCGGCGAAACCGGCTACTAAGGCGGGGCAAGGGGGTTCCATTTCGCGAATAATAGGCAAGAAGGGCCCGAAAAAGGCAGCGACACCCAAGGCTAGAGGAGCCACGGTGAAAGCTCCAAAGTCTGCGAACACTAAGGCTACCAAGGCTGCAAGGGAAACTTGTGCCGCGAGTGCGAATTCGAAAATCAAGTCTGCAGAGAGGGTTGAAGATTCTGACGAGGACATTGAGATGGAGGATGTGAAACTGTCGCCCACTAAACCGGTGGAGAAGAAGACCACTCTGGTGACGAGGCCGGCTCCGAGCCCAATGTCCAAGGCTCCATCAATAACATCCGCTCCAGCCTCGGATTTGGAGGCGGAGGAGACAAGGCTGAAGCCCAAAAAGGCCTTGCCCAACAAAGTGCAGAAGTCCCCTGTCAAGAAAGCAAGGAAAATTGCACCTCCAAGGTCGGCCAATACTGCTGCCACGAAGGCAAATGGGTACAGGATTGCACCTGCATCGAACCCAAGTGCCAATTCACTTTCCTCGAAGGAGCAGATCGCCCGACGTAGCTCGAGCAACTCTCCACCTAAACCCTCGCCTCTGGGGTCATCGCCGATGAACGCATCAGAAATGGGTGGCACAACAGCTGCTTCCTCCCCTTCTCTCTTGACGCCGATCGCGGGAACGGCGACACCCGGTCGATCGCCGCTAGATTCGGTTACGCTTGCTGCGAAGGCAAAACCGCGCTACATCCCGAGCAGCTCTCCACCGTTAAAGAGAAAGGCTACTCTGGCGGCGGACCGTGATCGTGAGGATATTTATTCACGACCAAATGGAAGATCGACCGATCGGGAGCGGGACCGTGACAAGGAGAGAGGAAGGGAGCGGGGCCGGGACCAAGACCGCGAACGTGAGCGTGAGAGGCCAAGCACTAGCACATCCACCGCCTCTAGCACTAGCAGCAACAAACGTCGAAACATTTCTCTTGACATCTCGACAATCCAACTAGCCCGCAGGTTCAAGGAGGACTACGCACGCTATGAGAGGCTACACAGGGAGGTCCAAGCCATCACGGACGCCTTCAAGAAGAAGGAAAAGCTAGATACTGTGCTGAGAATGCACAGTGATCTGGAAAAGATGAAGGAGACCATTATGCGTGCTGCGTCCGTGCATTGATCGAGATGAGCCCAATCATGGTCGGCCGCTCTTTCGGGTTTTATTTTTCCCCATTTTCTCTTGCTATATTTATCTTTACGAATTCTGGGAACCCTGTGTTTCTTTTCCGCACGGGTGTCTTGCTAGCTTGACTTGTCTTGCCACGCCTTGCGAGGGAGTGGGTGTGAGTAGGATGGTTAGTCTCGTCTCATCTCGTCCCTCCCTCTCTCCGGCGGCGATCTAGTGCGAGCCACCTATCCTCACCACCATCCAATGAACCCTTCAATTTCTTGTCATTATTGAGTTACGATAACGCCATCATATCCCACTATTTATTCATTCTTCATTCCTCATCTTTCTTCTTCACATGTCACCATTCGTCGTCATCGTCATCGCCAATACGGAGTTAAACATTTTACCAGTTCAATACAATTGTCATCGGCACTCTTATTTTCTATATATATCTATTTTTTCTTATTGACCTTTTTTCCAACGATCATACAAGTATGAATATTCATTTTTGTCATTACTTTCTCCCACAACGTCTTGTCTTCTCTTTGTTCGATTTCTTGTTCAATTTCTGCATGGGGTGTTTTGTTTATTTTTTATTTTTTTTGGTTTGATTATTTCTTCACCTACCTTACTGTCTAGCCTCTTTTGGTCTCCATGTGTGATTTGTCTTCTATGTTTGTCTCGTAGGTCCGAGTTCGAACACTGGGAAGAAAAGAAGAAAAAAAAGGAGTTTTTGTGTTCATTTGTTTTGGATCCGTTCTTTGTTTATTTTTATTTTTATTTTTTACCTTGTTATTGGCAGCTTATTCACTGTGTTTTGCTTGCTACTACATGACATGTTTTGGTGAAAAAAATTATGGTGGGGGTGTAATGAGTTGAGTTGGGTTGGGACTGACTAGTTGGTGGAAAGCAGCGTGGGGAGTGCAGTGAGTGAAGCGGTATGATCGATATACTGGAGCGCGGAATCGAGAAATCTTCTGTGCATACTATAAATCAATTTTTGGTGTTTTTCGCTGCTTTGTTTTAAAGTGAGATGTGGACGTGGTTGGCGGGGTGGTTGTCCGGGCATAGCACATCACTCGACTTGTGGGTAATGCGCGGTAATGAGTTTGGCGTGACTATCAGGCACCAAGGTTTTACTTGCGATACGAAGTAGTACAGCTACTAGACAAAAGCCTTGGTGATCGCTACTGGTGAGACAAAGTCTGTGTACTGAATGAGCACTGTCTGGTATGGTATGAGTTGTATAGCTAGCTTAACAATATCATGGAAAATTGAATCTTAAAGTTACTAGCAAAAAGGCAAATAATAAATCAAGAATACATTCTAGTAAAGTTGTAAATCCTACAGATACTTTATATACCTCTACTTAGCCTCTATTATACCACTTCTTATAAACTATCAATATTCATAGATTTCAAACAAAGTTGACAGATATGTATGAAACCTCAGTTAGGACAACAAGCTTAGTTTAAGTAAGATATAAGATCTGTAAACCTATATTTGTATACAAATAGTCAACTGTAGATAAGAAAGGATAGACACAGGATAGCTGTCTACTAGGAACATCCAACTAGGATGCTACTAGTAGAAATGACTTAAGACAAATAAAAGGCCCATAACCATGGCTCTCCCAGAACCGGTTACCTCTTAGAGCTACAGTACTATCTTTTCTAGAAGGAGCTATTATGATAGGCAATGTGAAGAAAGCAGGCACAAGTATAATGTGATTTCAAATAAGAATGTTTTGCTATCACTTAGTTATAGCTGACTAATTTAATACTAAGACTTTGTCTAGTAGCCCTAGTTTGTATAATATTGCCTTAAAAGTAATGAGTAGGTTACCTTTTTGTATAGTATAAAAGTACAGTAATATTTTAGACTTTTTAACTTAAACTAATCTCTATATGTCCTACTTGTGCCAAGGTTGCAGCTAGGGTGCTACAACTTCCAAAAGTTTACTGGCTCAGTTTTTGGTGGCACTTATCCTAAGTACCTGACAGCTTAACATTACTTTGTAGCTTAAAATTTCTTTTATGGCTTTACATTACTTTTACAACTCAATATTACTTTTGTAGCTCAACATCACAGATAACTCAGCACTACATTTATGATGATAAAATTTGTAGGGTTTATATATATTTTTTTTATTCAATTGAAAAAGAAAAACAATTTGAAAACTAGTATATAGGGATTTTCTTCAAACTTACTTGCTTCTTAATAGTAGCAATTATGATCTTAGAGACATTCTTTTTGTATATTTGAACAAGATGTCTATTTGATATATGTCTTCAATTTATCTAGCAATAGTTTCTGCTCTGACTCCTCTGTATTTTTTTAAGCATTTTAAGCTTGTAGTAATTGTCTTTCAGCTCTTTTAACCTTTATATCTTCCTTGTACTTTACTATTTGCTGTACTTCAGAGGCATAAAGTATACCTCTCTTTTGTACTTGCCTCTTACTTTGTACTTGGTATCTAGCATTTCTTGCTTACTTTGTAGTATGTGTGTTTTTCACATGTTCTGTTGCTAAAGCTCCAGACTGGGCTTGTACTAATCCTCCTTGCAATACAAGCTTGAGTCTATGCTAAAATGAAAGTAATATATCAGTTGCCTCTCTTTGTAGCTTTTCATCTTACCTTTCTAAGTTGATAATATTAAGCCGAATTGAGGGCTCAGAATCTTGCTGTAGTTGTTAGGAGGTAGGTAACTCTAAGGTCAAGCGAGTATACACTAGGCCCTGTAATCTTCTGTCTTGGAGATATTCAAGAAGGCTCGTAAAGATAGAAGTAAAGTAGAACGAATATATTGATAAGATCTCTTCTCTGGTCGCTGATGATAGACTTAAAGCTAGGGTATTTTTTTTTTTTTTTTTGATTGACTTATGGATGATTTGTTTAGGGTACAAAAAACGTATGGAGTATTAGTTATAACGACAAAAAACCCATATCCCTCCTCTCGCCACAGGAAAAAGCCAACCCCCTAAGTCCCTCTGGTATGGAACTAACCGCACATCTTGCCTCAAAGAAAAGAAACTCAAGCCTGGCTAAATGGACGAACAAGGAAATCCTAACTAAGAAGAAAGCAGGAAGGGCCAGGAAAATCTGCTGAGAAATCCCAAAAAGATAAAAGAAAGGTTAGTATCAAGCCAGGTAGGCCTGGAAGGGCGAGTCCACTCATTCAAGAGGGAAGCAACGCCCAATGCGTGCTAAGATAGGGGGTCCCCCCCAGACCCACTCCAAGGAGGCATTGCAATACCATGGAGGGAAGGAGGAGACCAGCCACCTGTGGGCGATAACTGGGGGGAGGGGAAGGTGCAGCAGTAGAGTGCCAGCCGATCTGACCATAGGGAGAGGAAAGCGGAGGGGTAGACCCAAAGACCTTAAACATCGTCTATAGGTATCGCGTTCGTATCTGACTAGGCAGCCTCTTAGGGGAACAAGAGAATGGGGAGATCAACCGTAGCCTGTAGGCTGTTCTCCCCTACTGCAACTGTAGTCCCGGCTGTCTGAGGATGGTGGTTAAGAGGTTGCCGACTGTGAGAAGGCTAAGCGAGGCCAACTCAAGAGGAGGAGAGGACTCCTCACCACACATGGAGGGAGAAGAAAGGAGAAGTAAGGAAGATCATCAACAGCCGCCTAGGCAAAGCAAAGCAGGTGTTTTATCGCGTCTCTCATATAGTCCCTTGTTCTGGAAGAGATAGTATTACTGTAGTGGAAGGGATCCCACCATCTGCCAGCCAGCCAAGGAGGGCCTCCAAACGACTAACCCCCAAGGAGAGAAAGGGCCCTGCGACGGTAGCCCGGAGTCAATACCCCAGGCGTGAGAGGAGGGAAGAGCCAGACTCCCCTAGGCCGAAGCCAAAGGCTGTAGCTCTACCAATATTAGTACTGGATAGATTTTCAAGATACTATTAGAAAGCTGACATTGCATAGAATCAGGCTGCTGAGTATCAGATACTGTGTTACAAACTGTGACTAAGCAAGGCAGATTTTACATAGCTCGGATTTCCAAGCTATAGGTATGTGGGGATTTCACATGACATACACTAGTGCGCCATAGGTTATTATGTTTACCTGCTGGTGACTCACAGTTGTGAGTCACACGATGTTATGATTTTCGCACATGACTCAAGTTATGAGTCATGGGTTTCACTCAGGTAACGCGAGTTGCGCACCTGAAATAGTTATTAAGGTTTTGATTAGGTTTAGGCATGTTGCGCAGCGACTCATAAGAGTCGGCTGATGGATTTCGTGTGACTCATAGTTATGAGTCACAAGGGTTGCGTGACACATAAGTATGAGTCACGCCAGGTGAAGAGCTACTATATAAAGGGTCACTAAGGACCCCTAGTATTAGCTCTTCACATGTTCTTCTTGTTTATTTCCTACCTTTAAGTTATTATCAATAAAACCTTCCTTTACGCTCTTTAAGATTTATCTTAAGAAACCCGAGAATTGTCTTTCCTCTCAAGCGAGAAAACTATTTCTCCTCCCACGTCGAACGACTAAGTCCTAATCAAGGACTAAGAAGGACAAGAAGATAGGCGCGAATACGATAGTAGTCAAAGGACTGGACTATCGGGATCGCGTAGGCATAGGCCTAAGAGCTATCACTTTACAGAAAAGTATCGTTACCTGTCGCTAGGTCCTACCCGGTAGGATTCTTAACATTAGAACGTGTCTACAACGCGACACTTAACGATTACACGACGGATCCATTTAACAGAGACCACGAGGGAGACATAGACGTCCAAGACGACAGTCTAGGATTAGGAGGATTGGAAGAAGCATTAAGCGAAGCAAGTCGATACTCAGCAAGATCGACAAGTCCGGTTACACCTGAACAAACGACCCCTCCGAACGAAGAAGACCCACCCGAGACACCAAGACCTGAAAGAATGTCAGGACCAGCACCACCCCCAGGTCCGCCTCCGGCAGGACCAGCACCTCCTCAGATGATTCCACGGAATAAAGTGGAACAAATGAGATGAGAAGCTATAAGAGGAGCAGGACAACAACCCAAAGTCAAGACCCCACCATGATACGATGGAGAAAGAAGCAAGCTACGAGGATTTATGGTCCAACTCTTGACCTACTTCGATGCTGTCGGATGGACTATGGGAAATGACCAAGACAAAATACGATACACCCTTATACTACTGGAAGGACAAGCACTAAAATGGATAACCCCCATCGTGGTTAGCAACGCTGCACCCTGGACGGACTGGGCCAGCTTCAAAAACATATTCGAAGCCCAATTCACAGACCTAGAATTGAGCCAATCAGCAAGGAACAAATTGGAAGATATTCACCAAGGGGAAAAAACTGTCACCGATTACTGGTACAAGTTTCGACTACTCCAGTACGATGCGGCTTGCCATGAGGCCTCAGCTATGAGGTGGTTCATGAAAGGCTTAAAAAAGACCTATCAAGACGCATGGAGATTTAGCGAAGAAAGATTTACTACAACTGAAGCAATGGCCCACTGGGCAATCCGCAAAGAAATCCAGTTCGGACAACTAGACTGGATTCAGAAGAGCTAGTACAATATGAATACAAGAAACCAAGGCGCACCCAGGAACCAGAATGGAACCTATCGAACTACCACCCAAGGAGGAGATGCCATGGACCTGGATGCAACTAGAAGGAAACCCTCACTCAACCTTTCAAGAGACGAGTACCTTCGACGACGAAACAACAATCTATGCCTAAGATGTGGCATAGGAGGACATATGATCAAGGATTGCAGACGATCCGCCAATCCCATTCCAAATCAAGAAAGAAAACAGCAGAACATGAGGACCAACCCTAGGTTTCAACCACGCAGTAATCTAAGGAAAATCGAAATCGAAGAAGAATACGAAACGGTGGCAAAAGACGAAGGTCCCCAGCAATAGATGGTCTGAGGGACCCTCCGAAAGACAAACCCATCGCAATGGCCAACTACTACACTCTTTTAAGCGCAAACACGGGAGATAACGACAATGATCATATCATGATCAAAACAAAAATCTATAACGACAAAAAACAAGAAACCACGATACACACAATGCTCGACTCCGGAGCCACGGAGGACTTCATCGATGAAGAAGTCTGCAAGAGACATCAGCTAAGAACTAAGAAAGCAAAAAAGGAAAGACAGATTTACCTCGCCGATGGAAAACCCAGCGCCATGGGACCTATAACCCATACCGCGCAAGTCCCTATGGAAATTGGAAACCATAAGGAAGTGGCTACTTTCCAAGTGGCAAATCTACAACACCATGAGATAATTCTCGGAATGCCATTGTTAAGACAACATAATCCCAGCCTAAATTGGGAAGAAGGAAAGGTTACGTTTACCAGCGAACGATGTACGACATGGTGTCTCAACAGTTCGCCAGTAATATATGCCACTCCTGAAGAAGAAGCAAATCAAAAGAACCAAGACGCAAAATTCAGTCAAGTTCAAATAAAGGATCAAAGGATCAAAGTTCAAAGATTAAGCCCTGAGGCTAAGA